AAGTTGTATTGTTCAGCAACCGAAATCCAAAATATTCCAAACGTCTCATGCCAATGTCACCTTGATGCAGAATAACGACATTTAGTTGTAAGCTATGGAGGACAAAACCCAACATCTACAAAACATCATAATGTTACTTCAACACAGCATGAAATTCTAATGTTAGACATTTAAAATATCTTCAACCTGATTTTCATTCCAACCAAAATTTAGCATCTCTGAAGTAAGAGTCCCGTGTCTTTCTGATGTCATAATGACATCCGGTGCCAGCTGGGAAGACGCTGTTGTAACTTAACCTTACATCATCCAATCTGCCCTAAATTTGACATGCTGGACAAGTGAACATGCACAGAATAGAAGATCTGACATGCTGATGATTTGCATTCATTTTATTTGTCATTACAGATGTCGGTAATTTCCTAAAATAAAAGCATCTATCACAAAGATCTAAAGTATAATGAAACATATGTACATTGGAGAGTCCCAACCTTCAGACTGGGAGCCAATGTGTTACTTCCTTCAGCAGAGGGATGCACAGCAGCACAGGTGACACTTCACTCCATCACCACACAAATATAAATAACACTGAGTGTCTGAGCTACTTGCTACAGTAAGTGTTAAATAACAGCAATGCAAATATAGGGCCAGACCAACTTGACCTAATAGCTGTTACACACTCGAGCCCACCGCACATGCATCATTAACATGATGTATCATGTCTGCGAGGGAGTGAGGAAAAAGAGGAAAAGGGAGCAGGAGAAGGGACTGCAGCTCAGCTCCACTGCCTGCTCAGCAAGAGCTATTTTTAGATCCCGAGAAACAAAGAAGCAGAATCGCCTTTCATCCCCCCCGTAACTCTGTTGTTTCACCTCCAAATGTGGCACTCGAAGACAGTCTGCAACTCTTTGTTGCTATGTTTAGTCCCAACCTCAAATAAATGCCTCTCCACCTGCCCTTGAATCTTTTTCTCTCCTCATCCTGCTATATTTGTGCTCGTGTTTTCCTGCTGTCTCACTGTATGTTAGAAAGGGGCTGTTATTCTTTTCAATGCTGAATCTAAGGCCGGGGTATAATTAGAGGGGGAAGCATCTGAGCTAAGAAGCAGGAGAGAGTTCTGGAGTTCTTCATGGAGATTGTCTTGTACTGTACGGTCCTCTCTGGCCAGCACTGGATGGGGCCTGGAGGAGGCAGAGAATGTGAGGAGGTAAACAGTGCACGGGTCAAGCAGGATCTGATGCTGCTGCTATAAGGGACAGACTGTCATAATCACATGCACCAAGGGGGGCCAGTAGAGACTGCAGCCAAGATGGCTCATCCACTGGGGTCTGCAAGGGAAAATCCCCCAGCTGGCCAGACCAATACTGTCATGGAAATCACTGCCTACAGAGAAGTCACAGCACTAAACAGTCACTACAGATTACCTATAAAGGAAAATATGTTACACAAAAAATGCAATAATAATAATAATAATAAAAATAATAATAAGGCATTTAAAGTAGAATCTATACTGTAAGAAAAATCTGAAATATTTTTTGAATTTGAATTTTTTTTGCCATACATGTGTTATTTTATATTATTCTGTCATATATTATTCTTCCCAGGGTAAATTTTTTATATTAGACAGACTCTGGTACATAAATCCAATAAAAAATACACAAATTAATAAAAGAAAAAAAAAACAAAACAACAGTAAAAACGTACCATACATATATTAGAGCTGGCACAATATCAGATTTTTTAACATGGTTATCATAGCCAAGGAGTTCACAGTGACAATATTATCACATTTCACATTTATTTCTTTTCTTGGTAAACAAATGACACTTTAAATAAAGGTGTGAGTTGCTGGAAAGTGAGACAAAGTGAGAGCTGAAAGAAATGGAAATTATTTAAGAGGTTAACTTCAATACTGGTCTATTGCAACACCCCTAACATATATATTCAGTCCTACTACAGGATCACATAGTCACAGAGGAGCCTGATACCTATTTGGAACTATCTTCCATTTTAGCACAACTCCAAACACCGGTCCCAGGGAGACGCCTCATCCTCCTGATCTCCACTTATTCTACTAAACACTCATTCAAAAGATTCTGTTTCCACCGTTGCACAAACCCATTCTTTCAGTTCTGGGGCCTTTTTCCCCTCAAGTGTCTTAAAATAACAACAGACTGTTACTATCGCCACAATAATAATAGTGACAGTGTTCATTTTCTTCTGGATCATATGAAAATGGTTCTGATTAGTTTTTTCTGGGGCTTTTTGGCCTTTAATCAATAGGACAGTTGTTAGCATGGAAGGAGGAAAGAGAGGGAGGATGACCACAGATTGGACTCGAATCTACGGCCGCTATGGCAAGAACAAAGCCTTTGTACATGGGGCTGATTCTAATGTGCATCTTTCAAAAAAACCAAGAAAAAACAATGGAAGTAGTCATTTGTAATAATAGTAATAATAATAATAAGTTTATTTGGTACAGCACCTTTCACAGAAACAAAATTCACAAGGTTCTTCTAAAAAGACGGCCATAAAAAACAGAAAAAAACACACAGGCGACTGAAAACCAAGGACAACTTAGGAACAAAGGCCATTTTGAAAAGAAGGGTGCTTTTTGCAGGCTTCTACGGAGACTGCAGACCGTAGTGTTGGAACCACTGCTGCAAAGGCACGATCAGTTTTTGTTTTCAGTGTAGAGAAATGGAAATCCAGTCAGCCAGAGATACTCAATTCACAAATCTGGCCCATGATGGGGTGCCTTGGTGGCCTGCCAACCATTTTCTAATTCACAATGAAAGAAAATTGATTTACACTGGGATTCTTTTTGTACTTTGAATCTAAATAATGTGCAAGAGTGCTTAAAACAGCACCACAATAGATTAAAAAAAAGTGACAGGGGGGGATCCCAAGACCCCCCTGACAGCAAAGCCATAACAATTGGAGTCAACAATGGGGGGACCAAATCTGCTGGGGGAGTGGTAGGGCTGTGGGTCAAAACATATCAGAATTTGAAAACTAATTTTCTGTTATATTATATGATTTATTATAAGCAGGTACAGCTGTGTAGTATACTAAATGGATTTTCAATAAATGGACACGCAAAACTGCAGTACACTGTAATACTAGAGCCAGTGGTAATAGTAATGGCAATTTGTTACATTTATTTATGATTCTGATTAAGCATAATTAAATGGGGGAGGGTTGGCCCTCTCCAGATATCTATTACAAATACTGCTTTACATGACAGAGGTCCAGGGTAAGCCTTAAATCCTAGAAATGCCCCTGCGTACACCTGACCTCTGTGGGTTGCCTGTGCAGGGCTGCTGCGACTGTATTTGCCTCTTGTCAAAGATGAGTGAGGACAGCAAAATATAATCAGTGTTCAATATTAACTGGCCCCTGGCCTCCTGTTGTTTCGGAAAACTAACTCTTGGGCAAAGAAAGTTGAGTATCATTGAAGGAGGCCTTGGTTGATGATCTAAGAGACCTCCTGGTGATGAAGGGACAGAGAAGGTCACAGATGTACTCATGCCCGAACACAAAGGGCTCTATATGTGAGGAAAAGTATCCTAAAATGAATCCTATGCAAAGGGAAGCCAATGTAAAGGAGGTAATGCACAACTCTATAATTTATGTGTGTGTCCTGTATCTGACTCTGCCTCTGGTGCTTGGGGTTTCCAAGAACATAACACAGTACACTATAGTGTGATTTGATCTTTCCTGGGTATCCATAAATTTACCTCAGTTCTTCCCATTAGTGGAGACATGGGATGGGAACCTCCACACATCGGGTATAAATGTCAAATGCTTCGGCTTTGGCATAGACTTGTGAAGATGTCGGATCAGAGATTCACAATTGGGACACCTCCCACTGTCATCCCTGGGCTAATGAGCTGAAATCATTATTTTATTTGAACATTTTGTCATTTATTTTCCAGAACAGGTTAACCTGTGATATTCAGATTAGGAGTGAAATGTTTAGCATGTTTAGAGAAAAATGGTCTGATGACATGTGGTACAAACCAAAACTATGAACTTATTGTCTCATAAAGAACAAGTACAGTGTGGTGCCTTATGTGAAAATCCCTGAGTGCACAGAGTTTGTTTGTTGTGTAATTTAGGTGAAGTTGAGAATGAGGTTCACTTCTTGTTTTACTGTCCTGTATATGAAGTCATAAGGAATGCACTTTTCGGTAAGATGACCCCAATATATGTTGATTTCTTTTGGCTGGATGGTCATGAAAAATTTGAGTTTTGTTTCAGAAAGGGAAGATTTTCTGTGGCTGAATTTCTTTGCCAACCCTGGGATAGAAGGCAGAGTTAAAGAACATCTACTTTGGATTGTTACTGGGCACATGTAAGTGTGCATGACACAAATGAAAAATCAAATCAAATAAAAAAATCTACTAAGAAAGAAAGACAGAAAGGTGAAGATAGAACTTTAAACATCTATTACCAACACACCGACTAAACTGGCCTTGATTACTGTATTTGTGCACATTTATATATCATCAAATCAAATTTCACACATTTGCACTTGTCATTTTGCCAAAATAAAAGCATCACTTCTTTCCATGTGATCTGTTGCTGGTGATGAATCAAAGAACACCACCCCCTAATTCATCTTCCTCCAGTTTCTGAGGCTGCAGAGACACCTTGTGGCGAGACACGGCCATGTTTTCCTGTCAGCGCTTGAGCCTGTGGCCTCAGAGCTGCCTATACATACAGTACATTTGTGACATGGACAGACAGAGGTGTTTGAAATAACTGCTCCTGAATTCCTCTGCGGATGTGCAGCAGTGCCTGCAACAAACATAGCACCAGGCCCACAGTCCAGCCAGTCAGGGCCAGTTATTTGGAGGTACAGTGGAGAGTCATTGTGCTGGACCCATACTCATTTTAAGCATGACGACATTGTATGGGGAACTCATATTACCCACACAGGTATGGCAGGCATTCTGTTCACTTGGGGAAAGAGTTTAAATAAGAGGTAGCCAGCTGCCGTCCCTGGGAGAGACCACGTTGGAGAGCCACTGCTGACAGTTGTAGCCCAAAGTCTGGATTATCATAACAACGTCGCAACAAGAGGTAGGATCTCACAGATTGCACATAATTACCACTGCTGTTTCAGCTCGGCGCACACATAAAAGCTGGGGCTTACTGTAATTTGGATGTGCAAAGACAAGAGATTATTACAGGCACCACAGACAAACACTGAGATTGTATGTGCTCAAAAAAGATCCAGCCCACAACAGAAGGTCAACACACAGCACGGAGCTGAGAATACAAAAGAGTTTGAGTCTCATACATGAGAAATGGATTCATGAGGGCTCAGACTGAGCTGCAATGTGGGCTTTTTAGATTGATCTGCAGTGGAAGATCTGTTTTTATCAAGTGCATTGATAAATCTCAACTGGATGATAATGACAGGCTGTTTTTTACGGAACAACACAACAGTAAACAACTGCAAAATACTCAAAATTAGATTGTAAATGAATGACTGAGTTTTGACATTGTGTAGAATAATAGAAACTGCATGTAAATATGTTTGAGATATGCAGTTAATGGCATAAATATCTTTATTTCTTTCAAAATAAAAGTCCTCTGCTACTTTCATGTTATCACGGGGGGAGACAAACACACATGCTCTAAATAAGCCCCCCACCCCCGCTCCAAATCTGCACCATGTGTGCACCTCAGGTAAGTGTTTACTGTTCTGCTACACCTGTTGGTCCTGTGCAGCGAAGCATTTGACTGTTTTAAAGGCACCAAACACTACAGGACAACTGACAAGGAGGCAGTAATCACTTAAAGGACGAGGCAGAAAATACATCCTGAGACATTCTCCATCAAAGAGCGTGTTGATAGCAGGCCGGGCTTTAAATTCCACAGCGCTGTTAATGTGAGAGCAAACACACTCTGTGCTAAAGAGAAATTTGCAGGAGGAGATCTGAGCTGTTGGACTTAGTCTCTATATGTCACACACTTTTAGTTTATTTTAATGATGTTCAGGCAATATGAGCTCAATTAAATCCAATGGAAGGATCTCTGTGGCTCGTTTGCATCACATTATGGTCATTTTGTGTCTCTCTGTTGTCAGTTTGGGTCTCTGTTTAGCTGTTTCACATCATTTTGTGATTTTTTCTGCATCTCTTCATAGTCGTTTTTGTGTCGTTTCACATTTCTTTGTTGGTATTTTGTGTTTTTGTAGTCAGTATGAGTCTCTTTGTGTTCAATTTGCCTCCCTTAGTGGTCGGTTTGAGTCACTTTGTGATTGTTTTACATCTTTTAGTAGTCGTTTTTTGTGGTGTTTCACATTTCTTTGTAGTTATAGTAGTCATAATAACTGTCTTTGTAGTCAGTTTTTATCTCTTTGTGGTTCTGTGGTTGTTTTGTGCTGTTTTGTATCACTTCCACACCAATTTGCATCTTTTTGTAGTCAGTTTGTGTCTCTGTAGTTATTTTGCATCTTTTTGTGGTCAGTTTGTGTCTCTTTGTGGTTGGTTATTGTCACTTTGTGATTATTTTGCATCCCTTGTTAGTAGTTTTTGTGTCAATTGACATATCTATGTAGTTTTTTTGTGTCTGTGTGGATATTTGTATCTCTTTGTGGTCAGTTTTTGTCTCTTTGGGGGCTGTTTTGCATCACTTTGTAGTCGTTTTTGTAGTGTTTCACATTTCTTTGTAGGTATAGTAGTAGTAGTAGTCTTTGTAGTCAGTTTTTATCTCTTTGTGGTTGTTCTGTGGTTGTTTTGTGATGTTTTGTGTCAATTCCTGATCAATTTGCATCTTTTTGTGGTTGATTTGCGTCTCTTTGTTGTCAGTTTTTGCCTTTTTGTGGTAGTTTTGTGTCAATTTGGGATCGCTTTGCATCTCCTAGTAGTTGTTTTTATGTCATTTTTCATATCTTAATTTGTGTCTTTGTGGATGTTTGTATTTCTTTTTGGTCATTTAGTGTCTCTTTGTTTCTTTGTGGCAATTTTGCATCACTTTGTGATAGTTTTCCATCTCTTTGTAATTTTTGTTATGTTTCACATTTCTTTGTAGTTATTTTGTGTCTTTGTAGACAGTTTTTGTCTCTTTGTGGTGGTTTTACGTCACTTTGTGATTGTTTTGCATCTTGTAGTAATTTTTTTGTCATTTGACATTTTGTTTGTAGTTATTTTGCGTCTTTGCTGATGTTTGTATCTCTTTGTGGTCATTTTGTGTCTCGTTCTAGTCAGTTTTGTCTCTTTGTGGCTATTTCGCATCTCTCAGTAGTCATTTTGTATCTCTCTGTAGTATGTTTGAGTCTCTTTGTTATTGTTCTGCGTCACTTTGTGATCGTTTTGCCTCTCTCAGTAGTCATTTTTGTGTAGTTTCACATTTCTTTCTTGCTATTTTCTGTCTTTTGTAGTTATTTGTGTCTCTTTGAAGTCAGTATATGTCTCTTTGTTGTTGTTTTGCGTCACTTTGTGATCATTTTGCATCTTTCAGTAGTCATTTTTGTGTTGTTTCACATTTAATTGTAGTTATTTTGTGTCTTTTGTGTCTCTTTGTAGTCAGTTTGTGTCTCTTTGTGGTTGTTTTGTGTCTCTTTGTAGTTGTTTTGAGTCTCTAGGGGACACTCTGCAGATGACACCGAATTCTCAGATGCTGCTGCTGGTTGAAAAACTACAGCTGAACTATAGTGATTAGTTCACACTGGAGATGAAGAGACTTTCTAAAGGCCCTCTGACCCTGGAGGGCCCACTCAGTGATCCATCCACTGAATGTATGAGATAACACCTGCTCTGCAGTTATATCATCTGCCACATGCCATTTTGGTTTATCACTCATTGAGTCACGTTTTCAGTCTCATGATATAGGAGAGAGGCAGCTGGAAGAAATATGAACCAAGGACGCAGCCATAAAGAATATACAGTGAGGTCGGCTGATCCTATCTGCCTCTGGCTCAGGATACTTAGTTCATTAAACTGATAATAGGAAAATGTGAACAATAGGTTCCTGCTGGAGTAAGCAGTTTCACACTAGTGCACCTCCTCAGACACACAAAGACTGTCTCCCTCCAGTGCTTCATGTGGCACTGACACTGCAGACTCAGTAGCTTTTTAAATAAGCCGTGATATGAGGGACGCAAATTTATGCAAAATCAGTTGGTGACTGTCATTCAGAACCACCACTCACCCTATGACTATTATACTATTTCTGATTCAGTTAAGTTTTAGCCATTTTAATTTAACAATTTCAGATGTCCAGGGGTCTCAAGAACTTAGATGGAATTAACTTTTTTTATTGCCTCAAATGGATAAAATCTCCACCTCTGTCAGTTTAGATAATTGAGGAAAAAAATGATTGAATGACAAAACTGCAGAGAATAAGACCACTTTATGAAAAGAACAATGTTGGATGTGGGAAAATACATATTTAACATTGTGAAGATTTTGTTTTAATGTTTTAAATGTGTTACCTTTATCTGAAGCTAACTCCAAAGTCCGAGTGAGGTCAGGCTAAAAGCTGTGAGACTGCAAGGACAGCGTCTCTGTCCATCCCATCTATGCAGCAAAATTCTGGGCTGAAAATTGACGGCAACATAGAAGTGGCAAAAACTGCAGTTCTTTGAATGGCCACTTGGGGCTGGCTCCAGAAGCCGGTCAGTTCCCATAGACCCTCATGTTACAATGCTCAACTTTACAGCGGAAATAAACATGTTTACAGCCTGGTGCAAAAAACACGGTTTTGGTCGCTAGCTAATTTCAAGATTCATGACAACTGTACAGAGGGTGAATTTTTATTAGACTCACCCGTTTAGATTTTATTAAAGCTTAAAGTTACGCATAATTAAGGGTGGGCTGCTTGTGTCCTCGGATTTCATCCAAATATAGTCACTTCTGGCTCCAAGATGGCAACAGCTGACATACCAAACCCAAGGCTTTAAAACAGAAGTCAACAAACTATTGAGTGACATCACAGTAGCTACGTGCATTATTTTTACAGTCTATGATCCTGCCCTTATAACACTGTTTCACAACTAGGGGTTGTAGGAGCTAAGTTTATTACTTGCAGCTACTGAGATGTTTCACCTGGCCTGACCTGGCTTACGTGCCTACCTCGGTTGATGCCATAGCTTCCTTGGTTGTGTTCAGAAAACGAACTGCAGGCTCCAGTTACATAACAATCATTGTATTTGTTAACACCAGCAAACAACGGTTGAATAAATGTCAATTTGTTTATCTGTCGTCCAAACTGGACACACAACTTTCCACTCGTTGTGCAGTCTTCTGCACCACAGCGGTGGAAAACCATTTGCCCTTCCGAGGTGAAACACTTTACGGCAACGTCAGTCCTTCCTTTTTACATTAATGCCAAAAATACCAATACAACGCCACCCAGTGTACACATATGGTAAATACAATTAATGTGTGCTGAGTGAAAGGACATATTTGGCTCTTGCAGGGGTACTTTGGAATACTGCAGGGGGTTCGTTCAATAAAAATGTAAATGTTAGTTTGGCAAACCACATTTTATGTTCAATATTCCTGTTTTCAGTGCAATTATTAACTACTGTAAACTGCCACAACAAGCATAATCATGTTGACATTTTTCATTGTGTGATTCTAACAAAAATGTTTTGCACTGTTCAGAGGAAACAATTCAGAAAGTTTGAGAACCACTGCCTTATAGGTTATTAGGTAGGAAGTCACCTGCCACTGTAAGTCCAGCCTACGTGAGACACATCTACAAACTGACTGCTCTCAAACCCCTTTAACAAGTTGGCCCAAGGACTAAGGCAGCCTGTCTGAAAGCGTGCGTGTCCCTATTTAGCTGAAATCAATACAGTCATGTGTGGAACTTGAGGCACTCAAGTGGCAACGTTCAGTGTTCTTTTACAGAGCAGGAAAAATAGGAAAGTTGTAAGACAGGCCATAAAACTCAAGTGTGTGACCCTTTGTTGTGGGTATGTATGCAAAACTGTGTGGAGCGTTTCGAGGAAACCATAAATGTAGATAACATTTATGGTTTCCTTCAGATTTCTTTTTGTCACATGGGGGATGTCTCTGAGCAACGTTTCCCCCGAGCAGCTGGGAATGTAGTACAATGAGAAAATTACTCATCCAAGAGGAACTTGTTGGCTTGTTTTCTAAGTTTTCTGCTTCTTGCACTCTAGGAAGGTTGTTAGCCCCCGCAAAATGAAAACAGTATTGTACTGACATGTAAAATAACTGGATGGAGGCCACAGATCCAGCAGAATATAGAAACTTTTCTATCTTTTTTGATTGTTAAATTTCCAAAAGATTTTGAACACATCTGGAATCTCAATTCTTTAAAACCTCTAACTCTGCCTGCTCCGTTAACCTCAGGGATATAATGTGTTATTATGAAAATCCAGTTTATATCGCTCTTGAATATTTAATTGATTTTGTCATTCTAAATGCCAAATTTTATATTCATGTACAGACTTTCTCTAAATCACATCCCTAAACTTTTATCTTTATCCTAGAATTGAAGGCTTTTCTCAAATACATTTTTTATGCTAATTAACCTTCTGTTTTGTGCATGTACATGTTGTTAATTAAAAAAAAAGGTTTCTAGCTTTTATGCGACACCAGGGTCAGCATGTCTGGATCTCCATCCCTGTTTGTTGCCCAGCACACAATGCACCGGGTCCTGATGCCAGTCCCTGCAGGTGGTGGGCCAACAGGGCAGCCGCTTCATGTTATTCATTCAGGCTGAGCCCGACCAGGCCCCATGGCTGAAGGCCCGGCCCTGCTTGCTGGCGAGCTCCCACCCCCAGGCCTGGCTCCAAAGGGAGGCCCTGGTGTCCCCATACCAGACTAGATACTCTTTTCCTGATTGTGCCATTTCATCAAGGTCTTCTTGAACTGCTCTTAGTCTGGCCCCTTTCCTGGGACCACTTTGACTCGGGAGACCCTACCAGGGGCTATCAGCCCAGGATCATGGGGACACACAAACCCTTCCACCTTGTTAAGGTGGGGATTCTTGGAGGACAGTGTTCATGAGTGAGGGTAGAATGAAGCATGCGACAATGCAGTGATGGTGGACGCTGTGCTGGACTTTCATGGTGGAGAGGGAGCTGAGCTAGAGGGCAAAGCTCTCAATTTACTGGTCCATCTACGTCCCAACCCTCACCTATGATCATGAGTTCAGGGAAATGACTGAAAGAATGAGGTCGTGGTCACAAGCGGCTGATATGAGATTCTTCCGTGGGGTGGTTGGGTGCAGCTTTAGAGATAGGGTAAGGAGCTCGGACATCCGGAGGGAGCTTGGAATAGAGCTCCCACCGGATGTCCGAGCTCCTTACCCTAGAACCCTCCTTACCCTTACCCTTACCCTAGAGCCTCTGCTCCTTCACTTCTAAAGGGGCCAGTTCAGGTGGTTCAGGCATCTGATCAGGATGCCTCCTGTTAGAGGTGGTCTGGGCACTTTCCACTGGTAGGAGGCCCCGGGGCAGACCCAGAACACGATGGAGGGATTACATATCTCATCTGGCCTGGGAACGCCTTGGGGTCCCCCAGGAGGAGCTGGAAAGCATTGCTGGGGAGAGGGACATCTGGAATACTTTGCTCAGCCTGCTGCCCCTTCGGATAAGTGGTTGAAAATGGATGAATGGATAGTTTCTGGCTTTGGGAGAGCACAGCGAATATTGACTGAACTTTCCTTGGCCATGGATATAATATACTGGAATTCTTAATTCAGATGGTGTTTCCTTTCAATATATGAGCAGATGACCACACATAAGTCCACAGTGTGGCCATATAAATACATTTTTCTAAATTGTGTTTTGGAGGAAATGCCCGACAATCTCAAGAGTGGGTTTGCATCGACCCTCACGTCAACACTAACCCTTTGGCGACCCACAACAAATAACTCATAATGTCTCACTCGCCCATTAATTTTCATCCAAATCAAGGCTAATGTTATTTATGGATCCAAAGCTGCATGTGTAGCATTGAATTCTGTGTTTTCTAACTGGCAGAGAGCGAGAGGAGGCACAGGCAAAGTGTTGTCGTTGCGCCAAGAGAGCACCCAATGACTTTGTGTTGACAGCAGAAGTGTGCAGGATACAGCAGGTAGGTTTTTCATGAGCGCCTCATCAGCATTAACACCTTTCATCCGTGGCTATCTGTCACCTTGTTTACCCTTTGTAGCGTTTCTTTGTGTTCAAAATGAGATGTTTACCTGGTGGAGACCACTATATCAGGGCTGCTTCCTGTCCCAACACTGCATAACACTCTCATAATCAGGAGCTGCTGTTTGCAGGACTATCAGCAGAGGCGTATACTTAATAATCATTTTGTGCAAAATTGGACATATTTGTAAAATTAGTGAATTTGACAGCAGCCATGCATCAAAGGTACAGTATGATTTGTCATCTTGCACATTTGCTTTGTAACTGGTGACTTGGGAAATCTGTTTATGATGCTGGCAAATGAAAGTGTCTGTTAGTGTTTCCGGACAGCTCAACATGGCAACAAACTGGTTGTAATTCACAGATCTTTTCAGCAATCCTTCCGTTCCACTTCAGGAAGCAAAGGAGGACGTGGATCATCAAGAAAGATGTTTTTTGTGGCGGGGACCAAAAATACAGCTGGAGCGAGCAGAGGAAATGAAAGGAGGTAACAGGTTCAGACCAATTCAGGCTTAAAAATTGACTTAAATTGCAAAATGGGAAATGGGGGCAACCATGGCTCAGGGAGAAACTCTTCCTGATCATGCACTTGGGTTTTTATGTCATAATATTTTCACTGTAGCTTTAAAAAATACACAGAATAATCTCTTTCATTGTCAGGTCAATCTACCAGAAATTTCGAGAGGTAGATTTATTGGACAGGAAGAAGAGGACAGTGACGGCTTTAAAGGCGGGTGAAGATCGAGCCATTCTCCTGGGGCTGGGAATGATCCTCTCCTCAGTCATGATGTACTTTGTCCTGGGGATCACTTTATTACGCTCCTATGCAGACAGGTACAGGCCTGTTGTTTGAATTGTCTTTTTGCTTTACACCCTATAAAGGAGTTGGCTAATATTTCTGTCAGAAGCATGTTTTATTCATCAGATGTACTTGTTGACAAACTGCTCTCAGTGCTCTCTCAACCTGAAAATTGCAAAAATGAATACTTTATGAAACCAGATTTTCAGGAACAAATTATACCTTTCATAGCATGTGATCCCCCCGAAATGTATTCTGCTTCTTTTTTTGCATTAAATTGGATCTTCATTTAAATGTCAACACAGTGTGTGGACAGAGGAGGGTGTGTGTGTTGTCCTCAACTCCACGGTCACAGCAGACATGAACTGTTCCTACAACTGTGGGTCAGACTGCTGGAGAGTCTCCAAATACCCCTGTCTGCAGGTCTACGTGAGCGTCAATAACACGGGCCGTGTCAGCCGTTTATCTCACAATGAGGAGACCCAGGACACTAGCTCTGAAGTGAGTACAGTGCCAGAGGGAAAATACTGAAAATTACTGAACCGTTTCAAATGTTGACAATTGCTGTTGGTCTGGTTGTGGACTTACTCTGCTCTCAGTTCAGAAAATGTCAGTTGATAGGATTTTTACCTGGTCAAGCTGAAAGATGATACATGATGTATCCAGTACTGTAAAATGAAAGGACTACTTAACCCCGCAAATGACCATTTGTATAGCAATCACTCACCCTATGTCACGCTGAATATTTAAAGAAAACGTTAAGGTTTTTTTTTTGCATGCCTTCACCGTGAACGAAGAATTCAGAAGGGGAGACTTCTTGATGAAATGAAGTATAAGGGGGTCATCGCAGTGTGTGGCTTCCACTGGCAAAGTTCCAGTGGCTGGGAACACTGTTCATCTGCACACACTGCGATGATGCAAAGCTGGTTCAATATCGGCAAAGTTTCCCTTTATATTCATAGTCTTCTGTGGCGATCAGCAGTGATGTGGTGGTTCACTTTTACGCTGTGATCTGTAGCCTATAGTTCGGCTTTAGCTTCTAACTATCTTTGTCTTTTTAACCTGTAGTTGCTGCTAAGTCAGTTTGACATCCTGGATATATCCTTCAAACACAGACTGTAGACCCCTCTGTCTGCTTCTCTCTGGAATCACTGTTTAATTTTCCCATAAATATGATAATATTTCTTCAGGGAGTGCAGTTAGTTACAGTGTGGGCTCCATGCTAGCTCCCACAACTTGACGGACCATCACAAAGGGGCAGAGCTTAGCTAATTCTACGTTGATATTCCCAGCTTCTGATCTTAATGCCTCTCAGTGCATGTGCTTAGGAAAACATGGACGTCAATCTGATGTGCGTATGTCAAGTCATACATCAAATAACACAACGAGAAATAGCGTATAAAACAAGTCAATTGTCAACAGCTCAAATCAGTGTAAACGGGAGCGAAGTGTAATAATGTGAACCACCAAAATTTTGTGTGCAGTGTTAACTTAATTAAACTATGATGAAAAATGTTCATCAGCTACCTTTTTTTCCCACATTGAAGACAAGGTGAAGAGCTGAAATAAACAGTTGATGGAACTACGATGAAATGTGTGTTTTGTTTAGTTGATGAGTAGGAAAAAATAGTTAGTGGTGAGTTATCAGACATGCATAATGAGAGGAGAGGAGTACAGAATGATAAATTACTTTATGACATGTATTTCCAAATGTTTTAAACTAGGACGACAAGAACAGCTTTGCTTGCAATTATTTTCTAATGCCGTATGAGTGGTTGTTTGATCGGAGCGCCAACAGTCTGGTAAATGCCAGTAGATAGTTGGCGGTATGTATCAGAAGCCTCTAAAATAGGGATGCACAATATTGGATTTTTTTGCCGATATCCATATGCTGATATATAACAACTCATTTGGCTGATAACTGATATTGATATTGATATTGATATATCCACCTTTTTCCCCACCTAATTTTAGTGATCATCAAGTCTTTTCTGTAGTGGAATTAACATCATATTATACATGCATACTCTTGAGTCTGACCACAGATGGTGGAGCTGTTGAATGGATTTGTGGAGTTCGAGGCCGCAGAGGTGGCTGTTAGCAGCTAGTTCCGCTTGTTAGCCAATGAACTGCAGCAAAGCAAGCAGCTACCAGCTGTCTGACTTGTCATCTGTTGATTCCTGTAGGACTCCACTTAGATCTGAAGTGGCTAGAGAAGGTTTATGGTTTACAGTGAACTGGGCTACAGATAGTTCTCTTGTCTCAAATTAGTTATTTATGGTGTCAAAGTTTGAGATTTTGAGTTTTTCAACAGATGATCAGTTAGTGTGTGCTCGTGAATCATACTTTAAACCTGCCAAAAACTGCTGGTGTCGAAATTATTTGTCGAATTGTAGAAAACATATGTCTAAATAACACCTGATACAACCTCTCAACTTGCAACATGTCCTCATACAATAGATTGTATGATATCCTACGAATTAGCGCCCCATGAATGATGGTAGCCCAAAGCAAAATTAACCCAACCTGACATCCTTAATTGATATACAAATGGTTATTTTGGGGGGTATGAAGGATTAGCAGCCACAACCACAACAGAAATTTTGACCAACTGATTGCCCTCTAGATAACCTCAGTGTCCTTCAACCTGTCATTGCAGTGTCTCTAAGTGCCCAGGTGCCAGAAGGACAGCTTGGCCATGCACGTCATTATCATGAACATCTCTGAGCGTCTAAAGGTGAACCAGCAGGTCCCCTGTTTTTACGACCCCAGCGAGCAGCAGGAGACCGTCCTCCTGACGCGGCTGTACGACTACAGCGTCATCTTCCACTCGCTGCTGTGGCCCTCCTGCATGCTCATGGGAGGAGCCCTCATCATCGTCATGGTGAAGCTCACGCAATACCTCTCCAGACTGTGCGAAGAGATAGGGAAGATCAAGAGGTGAAATGCAACGCAGCAGCTGTCAATGCCGAACACATGGCGGTTTGGTGATGGACGTATGACATGAAAGAGATTGTTTCAACCAAGCGACCTTGCTGTGATCTCTCGCAAACTTTCCTCTTCGGCTGAGGCGTTTGGAACAGCTGGCTTTCTCTCCGGATCGAGGATGTGACTGTTTCTAAACGTGAACTGAATGTTCCAGGGCAGAAACTGTCAGATGTATAACAGGCTGTTATACAGAGAAAACTAGGACTGTCTTTTGCATGGTGGTTAAGCACTGTAAAATGTTTTACGGGTACGAGTTTGTTACACTTGTGATAAAATAAACGACACACGTGACATTGGCAACCTGTATTTAAACTGACGGGAGAAATCACTGCTGTCCAAAAATATCCTCTGCATGTGGTTGTTAATGTTGAGGAATGTAACAATGCTGAGAACTTTCCTGAAACTATAATATACTCTCTCAGTGACCAAAAAACATATGCAGGTCTCTCACAATGAAATCTTTCAGAAATGAACATAAGATGTATATGGGCCAAAGTCATCATGTGAGATTTGGATGTCCAAAGCTGTTTATGAAGTAAAAATAAAGAAAAATGTCAATTAAAAAACATATTTATTGAATCCATTAACCTCTGTTAATCAATGACATGAAAATGCATTGATGGTATTACAAAGTTTAAGAATTATTAGACATTACAGTAACAAAATATAATAGCAGATATCTGTCCTGACCTCATGGTGAAATGCAAAAAAGCTACATGAAGTGTAAAGCCTAAAATTTATGCCACAGCAATGCATACCTTTAGATTTTACAAAAAAAAATCATCAAAAAACATCCAGAAGATTGCTATGCATCGGAACATTCTGCCCCAAAACTGGTAGTGAGCCAATGCCATCTGAGATAACGAGCAATCGGAGTAATTTTATGGGGCAAATTATTTTGACATTATCAGATGGGATGTTACACAGTCAGGAAGACCCTGAAAGACCCCCATATCATGAAAGGTTAAAAAGTCTCCCTTAAAATGCATTTAATTTACCCTTTTCATTCACTGGTACACTAAGGAGTAAAATCCTGTATCATTTGGGATATCGCTAAAAAGACATGCATGATATTGATTTTTTTTTTTTTTTTTTTTTTTACAAATGTATGTATTTAATATGAAATTACAGACATGGAAGTTGAAGTTCAACTTCCTGATGTAGGAAAAACTATCCTGTACTTTAGCTCACCAAATCACAGTGAGCATGTAAAGGCCTAGTATTTATAGCACATGGCACATTCTTTGAAAAACCTAAGTACACTTGCATATTTATAGGAAAACAATTGCCTAGGATTACCAAACAAAGGTTAAAGGTCCAGTGTGTAAGATTTAGAGAGATTTTGTGGCATCTAGCGGTGAGGAATATGCTAAATATGACGTGTTGTTAAAAGGGTAGCTTCAGCCGACACCTTTTTCCGAATGCAGAAGTGTCTATGTTATGTTAAATTGCTTTATTGTAATGTTTTGCACTGTACTATTTAAGTGTCCGGCTATGACTTAATTTACATGAGTTTGCAGATGAACACATGATGTTCTTATTTCTATTTGCAGACCAAAATAAAATTATAATTCTAAGGACTGCAGATTGCAGCCAGCTAAACTTCTCCTGGTTAGAATTCCTTCAGTGTTCATTGTTCAGGAGGTTTTTACCGGCAGCTGAGTTATCCGCAGAGGAGTCTTCCTCTTCAAAACAAACAGACCAGGCGATTAAAACCAGTAAAAACACTGAATTAAGCAGTTTCACATTACAGTTCAGTGTTTCTCTTACACTGTATGGCACGTCGAAAACGGCGCACTTGCCCAGCATCTGCAAATGTATGCTCACCTTTTATCTGATTCAGACATTCAGAAGGTTTTTACCATGAGCTAAATAATCCACAGAGGTCTCTTCTTCCTCTCTAAAATGGACCTGGTCACTGAACTCGCTGGAGGGATTATATCTCTCATCTGGCCTGGGAACGCCTTGGGGTCCCCCAGGAGGAGCTGGAAAGCATTGCTGGGCAGAGGGACGTCTGGGGTGCTTTGGATGAACTTAAACTGATAAAAATGCTGAATGAAGCAATTTCACATCCCAAAAAAAGGGCAATTTTTCTACACTTCTGTCATGGAAGGGCTGCTAACTACAGTGACCAATGCAAAAACAGGAAAATGTGAATGACCATATCTAGAGCCAGTGTTTGGTTTGTCCACTCTGGGCTACTGTAGAAACATGGTGGCACAACATAGTGACGAGGACCCGCTCCCTATGTAAATATAAATGGTTCATTCTAAGGCAACAAAAACATTACGATTCTTATTTTCATGTGATTATACACTAAAGAAAACACACTTACTATATTCCATTGCTGCCACTATATCCCCCTAAATCATTCACACTGGACCTTTAATGTCAAAAAATAAATTCTGACCTCAGATACCAGGGTCACATGTTCACCTCTGGGTTATCTCATAAATAAAAACAGCACATAAATGTGTTTTCATGTGGTGATAAAAACAAAATATATGGTGATTTTGCTGTGTGATTCTTTGTGGTCACACACAGAAGGAATAAAAGATCATCTCCTCAGGGTATATGCACCAGAAAGCACAGAGAGCACGAACACACTGCTGTCAAGGCTGCACAATGTCCTCACATTTCTTTGCTTGTTTTGCAAACAGAAAAGAGTTTTAAAAGTTTTCATCGGTATCCAGACACCCATAGGGTCTGTGGCTGATTGGCTGATGGCGGCCATGACTTTTGGAGAATATCCATGTCTGATTATATGTGAATGAGTCTGTACAGTGAGGATGTGAAAAAAATACAACTTCTGACCATAACTACTGGGCAGTGGACCAAGGGCATAGGTTTTGTTTCAACCTTCGGGGGGACACATATGAAATGTAGGATTAGGGTTCCTTTGCCATGAAATTTTCCTCCGACACTTAGGCTGCATTCACATGGAATCAGGCAGAGTGCAGACAGCAGACAGACAACACCTTCTGGACGGCATGGGACAAACAACAAAACATCAGACGGCATGGCAGGACACTAAAACAAAACATGCATAACAATATGTTGCAGTGGTGATGCTATATTGTTTACAAAGCATGGAATAAAACACATCAAGTAAAATAATTATGTGATTATTATTTTATGTATGTTTTTCTAATAACGTCTCAGTCTTGTGTGAGGGAGCCATAACATCTGGTTGTAAATTCCGTTGTGAAGGACTGCAATAAGGTAAAGTATTTTAACTCTGAATAGCAGTCCCATCTACCGTTTTGCAGGTGTTGTTTGTTTCTCTCTCGTCCTTTCTTACTGCTGCTTTTATGCGACTGCGCGCTGGACTTATAGATGTATTAGTTTGTCAGTCTTGACAGATTTTGCGCCCAAACTATCTAGCAGATTGTATCGTCTTGTCACATGATCAAATAGACTCTTGACACTAGACGACATTAACATACATGTTACCAACAATCATTTTTGCATACATGTATATGACAATATACATGTAGAATGAGTATATAATTAGTTGTAGATTGCTACATATGTATATATACAGTACAGGCCAAAAGTTTGGACACACCTTCTCATTCAATGCGTTTTCTTTATTTTCATGACTATTTACATTGTAGATTCTCACTGAAGGCATCAAAACTATGAATGAACACATGTGGAGTTATGTACTTAACAAAAAAAGGTGAAATAACTGAAAACATGTTTTATATTCTAGTTTCTTCAAAATAGCCACCCTTTGCTCTGATTACTGCTTTGCACACTCTTGGCATTCTCTCCATGAGCTTCAAGAGGTAGTCACCTGAAATGGTTTTCCAACAGTCTTGAAGGAGTTCCCAGAGGTGTTTAGCACTTGTTGGCCCCTTTGCCTTCACTCTGCGGTCCAGCTCACCCCAAACCATCTCGATTGGGTTCAGGTCCGGTGACTGTGGAGGCCAGGTCATCTGCCGCAGCACTCCATCACTCTCCTTCTTGGTCAAATAGCCCTTACACAGCCTGGAGGTGTGTTTGGGGTCATTGTCCTGTTGAAAAATAAATGATCGTCCAACTAAACGCAAACCGGATGGGATGGCATGTCGCTGCAGGATGCTGTGGTAGCCATGCTGGTTCAGTGTGCCTTCAATTTTGAATAAATCCCCAACAGTGTCACCAGCAAAACACCCCCACACCATCACACCTCCTCCTCCATGCTTCACAGTGGGAACCAGGCATGTGGAATCCATCCGTTCACCTTTTCTGCGTCTCACAAAGACACGGCGGTTGGAACCAAAGATCTCAAATTTGGACTCATCAGACCAAAGCACAGATTTCCACTGGTCTAATGTCCATTCCTTGTGTTTCTTGGCCCAAACAAATCTCTTCTGCTTGTTGCCTCTCCTTAGCAGTGGTTTCCTAGCAGCTATTTGACCATGAAGGCCTGATTGGCGCAGTCTCCTCTTAACAGTTGTTCTAGAGATGGGTCTGCTGCTAGAACTCTGTGTGGCATTCATCTGGTCTCTGATCTGAGCTGCTGTTAACTTGCGATTTCTGAGGCTGGTGACTCGGATGAACTTATCCTCAGAAGCAGAGGTGACTCTTGGTCTTCCTTTCCTGGGTCGGTCCTCATGTGTGCCAGTTTCGTTGTAGCGCTTGATGGTTTTTGCGACTCCACTTGGGGACACATTTAAAGTTTTTGCAATTTTCCGGACTGACTGACCTTCATTTCTTAAAGTAATGATGGCCACTCGTTTTTCTTTAGTTAGCTGATTGGTTCTTGCCATAATATGAATTTTAACAGTTGTCCAATAGGGCTGTCGGCTGTGTATTAACCTGACTTCTGCACAACACAACTGATGGTCCCAACCCCATTGATAAAGCAAGAAATTCCACTAATTAACCCTGATAAGGCACACCTGTGAAGTGGAAACCATTTCAGGTGACTACCTCTTGAAGCTCATGGAGAGAATGCCAAGAGTGTGCAAAGCAGTAATCAGAGCAAAGGGTGGCTATTTTGAAGAAACTAGAATATAAAACATGTTTTCAGTTATTTCACCTTTTTTTGTTAAGTACATAACTCCACATGTGTTCATTCATAGTTTTGATGCCTTCAGTGAGAATCTACAATGTAAATAGTCATGAAAATAAAGAAAACGCATTGAATGAGAAGGTGTGTCCAAACTTTTGGCCTGTACTGTATATACATACATACATATATATATATAAAAAGACAGAGAAAAGAAAAGGAAATCATGATGAAGATGGGTTCATATTTTTGAGGGAATACAGCCAAGAGCAAATGGCACCATTTTTAACTTATGTAACGCAGGATTTATAATTTTGCTTTGAATTTACGCTGTACGCTATGTCGGAGCCTGACGTGCACCTCCCCAGAACTGTAGCTGCAGAACTCCTGTCTATTTCTGTAAGCTGAAACCATTTCCCTCAGTGGAAATAAAGCTTTTATTTACTGTAATTTCACAGACAAGAAACAATAAATTGTGAAGACAATAAAGCCTCCACAAAAATATCATTTTAAGTCTTGTGTGTGATTTATCCTGACTTCATATGAACAGAGGAAATCTCCACTCTTCGCTATGCTAATTTATACAATGTAAAATGCCATAGGCTTGGGCTAATAACGTTAGCATGTTATATTTGTTTGGAAACGTGTTTAGTATAAGGACACATTCACACTGGCGCTGTTTGGTCCGCTTTAAACGAACCCTGGTCCGCTTCCATGGATAGATTGGTTTGTTTGGAGTGGTGTGAATGCTCATTCGAACTCATTCATGCGGACCAAACAAGTGAACCCTGGACTGCTTGAAAACTGGGGGTCTCGGTTCATTTGCAAGTGAACCCTGGTGCGGTTCGCTTACAGTGGGAAATGCAAATGAACTATCTAGCAAATCAAAGAGAGGAAGTGAACCAAAGAGAGGAAGTGATGTAGAGCACAGTACATTTTGGGTAGAAAAAACAAAGCCAAGAACGCAAACCAGGAGAAGCAGAGGTAATCAAAGAAAAAGTTGGAAAATGTCTCATGGGCAGACGTGGAGTAGTGAGGAGGTGCAGGCGGTTATTGATATATGGTCAGACGACTATATATCGCAGTTGCTTGTAGCTAACCTCAATGGATTTCCGTTTTCGGTCCTGGCCAAGCGATGAGCCGAGTTTTCTTCTTCCTCATGCTTTTTTACTTCCTGATCAGTGGTGGTTTCGGGCAATACCGCCCCCAAACGAGCAGCTGTTGTAACTGCATGACATTGTCCAGGCTGTTTGGTCCACTTTAAAGTGCAGTGTGAAAGCGAACTGAACCAAATGAAGGTGTGACATTTTTCGGCATTCCCCGCCCAATCGAACCGAGTCCCCCTGACTACCCTGGTGTGAATGCGCCCTAAGACAGTTGTTTTGTTAGTGAACCTTGTGAGTTGTAATGTCACTGAATTTTGTAACGTTACCTTTGTTAAATGTCACTGTTGTCCCTGGCTTCATATGAGTAGAGGAAAAGTCTGAAAGCTGCTAGGCTAATTTATACAATGAAAATGCCATAGGCTCGTGCTAAAAACATTAGCATGCTGTATTTGTGGGGAAAATGTGTTGCGCTGATGCACAACTATAAATCCTGCTTAAGTCTTTTTTTTTTTTTTTAACACAGGTGTAGTTACATGGTTACAATCTGAGTCCCCCCCAACCCAGTGGGCCCCGGTGCAACTTTATTTACGCCCCTGCTTCCCCCACAGAATCCACATCTACAATGGTCATATAAGTGTTATTGGCTTGTTCCTCTGGCCCATAAAGTCTTGCTCAGTTCCAATGTAGTATTATGTGGTTTTAAAGTTACTCAATAACAAGCACGTAATTTCCGACAAACTCTTCTTCTCTGGGGGCCCCCTCCACACACATGCTGCTGACAGGATCTGTCCTGGGCTCTGCCTATGACTGACATCTGAATAATATCGCCTCTGTTTTTCACACGTGTTCCTTAGTGTCATTAATAAGATACATTTAATAACCAACTAAAGTAAAGAGTGAACAAGCGGTTTCCTCTCGCAGTCTCATCTCATGACACACTGAGCTCTCTCTGTGTGGGAGGGCGGTCCATGATGATGAGCCTGCTAGCACCCGTACAGCAGGCTAGTAGCTGTGCGGAGCTAGCGTGCTACCAAACTGAGCAGTTTATTTTCGGGACAGCACGATGAAGAACATCATGAAGTATTACAGACTTATTACACTACAGCATATTGACAACATCAGCGGGAGCTAGGGGCGTCTCTTCTCCGCCACAGCGGGTCTGTCCCGACCCCTCCGTGTCGTTGTTCGGATGGACTAACGTTAGAGCTAGCGCCGCTGCTTGAGACTTCCCGACCGGGCACGAATGGGATTCACTCAGCTAGCCGTTGCTAATGGTTGTGCTGGCAGACTAGCTTCGCGGCTAACCGGTTGGCGTTAGCTAGCTGACACAGGTAGCTCTATATTTGTTTTTGTCGTGTTTTGTTGTGTGTTCGCTTTTACTTTTATACTGAACAGCTTCCCAGTTACACACCCGACAGACAGCCGGGTCGCACCCGTTTATTGAAGTAACTTAACCTCAGACCAACATGAGCTTGTTATGTATCAGTCGATGTTTTCATATTGTAGATGACATTGATCTGCTTAGTGAACTTGGCTAGCATGGTTAGCTAGCAAGCTAGCAAAGAAACAACTTAAACCCACCAAGCAGCAGCGCAGCACAAACTAATTGATGTGACTGTCAAGCCCAGGCTAAAAGCTATAACTTAGCAGTGTTATCCACACTTAACTAACCTTCTTTAAGCTAACATGGTTGTTTACATGAATTTTTAAGTCCTTTCATTCGACATCACTGGACATTTATCGGTCCATTGCTGCCCTCTGTGAGTTAGCATGAGTTATTTTAACACCAGCTCACTAAAGGGAAAGTTTTGTCCATAGATGTTGCTGTCTGATGTGATGACTTGTTATGTTATCCTCAGGTCCCTTGCTAAATTTATGAAAATTCAAAAAACGCAGTGACATCTTCAGTTACTGCTATATCCTGTCACCTGAGTTGTTATAAGTTGCTACTACAGTTCAGTCAAATTGAAGTAAAGCAACTTTACAGAATAGCTATGTGCAATATGGTCAGCCAAAAAACCTTAAGACCTATATACAGTGTTCCTCCAGGCATTCCTTTAGTATAACGTTACAGCTACTGAATTTTATGACATATTGGCAACCCATGTGAACTTAAATCTCCCCCAGGAGTGTGTATTAAGCATTTTATATGCTGTCACACTGCATCTCCAGCATCTTCTCAGGTCACCAACTCACTAAAGCTAATGTTATTGCAGTAACATCTGCAATTACTGTCACAATTGTGTTGTTATAGTTGTTATAAGTGTGTTGCTACCTCTGATCTGCCAAACTGAAGTAAAGTAACTTTACATCATGGCTATGTGCAATGTGGCCAGCTCAAAAACACTAAACCAATATACCTTGCACCTACAGGCATTGCTTTAGTATGCAGTTACTGAATTTTATGACATTTTTGGCAACCCACGTTCACGTAAATGTCCCCCAGGAGTGTTCAGTTTTCAATTTAATTTATAATGCCCAATATCACACATCACAATTTGCCTCAGAGACAGCATACGACATCCCTCTGTCCATGGACCTTTGCAGAGTATAAGGAAAAACTCTCCCAAACAAACCTTAAACAGGGGAAAAAATGTTAGAAACCTCAGGAAGAGCAATAGAAGTTGTGTGTACAGAATAGATCAATGTCTTAAAATAAGTGTGTGTTTAGCATTTTTATGTGGTGTCACAATGCAACTCCAGCATCTCTCAGGTCAAGTGTTTACCACAAGCTTTATGCATTATTGTGCACAGGTCAGTGATTCTTACATAATTCTGTTTTCTTCCTTCTCACAGTTGGTTGACATCGCTCATCTCGTAATTACCGGGCTCCTGAAATAGAGGATTAGTTAGCACGACCATGCCTCCCAGGCCCTCCTCAGGAGAACTATGGGGGATGCACTTGATGCCCCCCAACATCCTAGTGGACTGCCTTCTGCCAAATGGCATGATTCTCACATTGGAATGCCTCCGGGAGGCCACGCTGATCACAGTCAAGCATGAGCTTTTCAAAGAGGCCAGGAAGTACCCTCTTTACCATCTGCTGCAGGAGGAGAGCTCCTACATCTTTGTCAGCGTCACCCAAGAGGCAGAGCGGGAGGAGTTTTATGACGAGACCAGGAGGTTGTGCGATCTCAGGCTCTTTCAGGCCTTCCTCAAAGTCATCGAGCCAGTGGGCAACAGAGAGGAGAAAATTCTTAACAGAGAAATAGGTATGGTTCATGAATTATGTAGGTACAGTGCAACCTACCGTACCATACAGTAACGTACTGTAGCAACTGTTGGCCTTGGGGATGTCATTACCCGCAGTGAGGAGGATTAACATAATACTGTTGGCTTTATGTTATGTGTTGTACTGTATTATTCCAAGGCTAATATCCCACGTGTCAATGCCAAAAAAAAAGTTTTTTGTTATGCACGTGTTTCTCCTTTCAGGTTTTGCCATTGGAATGCCTATATGTGAGTTTGATTTGGTGAAAGACTCAGAAGTGCAGGACTTCAGAAGGAACATTTTAAATGTTTGCAAAGAGGCCGTGGACCTCAGAGACAGTAACGGACCCCACAGCAGAGCTTTGTACGTGTATCCTCCCAATGTAGAATCCTCCGCAGAACTTCCCAGGCACATCTATAACAAGCTAGATAAAGGTAACATTTCACTCCTGGCTCAAAATATATTGTGCAAACATTCACATTTTAGCTGTTTGCGCCTTCTCTGTGTATAAAAAAATGAAAGCATATTTCTCCAATTTGTTCTTTTATTCTTTTTCCCTCAGGTCAAATCATTGTGGTGATATGGGTTATTGTGTCACCCAGCAATGACAAGCAGAAGTACACCCTGAAGATCAACCACGACTATGTGCCGGAGCAGGTGATTGCCGAAGCCATCCGTAAGAAGACACGTAGCATGCTGCTCTCCCAGGAGCAGTTAAAGATGTGTGTGCAGGAGTATCAGGGAAAGTACATCCTCAAAGTCTGCGGCTGCGACGAGTACTTGCTGGAGAAATACCCTCTGAGTCAGTACAAGGTAATCTAATTTAATCTTACGCATGCTGCATCTGATGCTGTTGTACTTAGAGGCGGGAGAGTTTCACTTCACATCAAATTATCATCCAACACAAATGTGCTTGGCATTCATGACATGAAATGAAATTCATGAGAAAATGAGCTGCCTGTGAAATGTGCTGATTCAAGAATAGACCGTATACATCACATTATATAAGCACAAAGCACTGAATGCTTCAGTTACTGCTGAGTTGTGCTTGTAAAATCCAATAATTTACATCTTAATAAACCCTGGAAATTGTATGAATGGCTTCAAAATGTCAAACAGCATGAATAGCTTCAAAATGTCACAATCATGGCTGCTTCAAAATGTCACTTTGTGTGTCCTTGACAGTATGTGCGCAGCTGTATCATGCTGGGAAGGATGCCCAACTTGATGCTAATGGCAAAAGACAGCCTGTATTCCCAGCTGCCCATGGACACTTTCACCATGCCGTCATACGCGCGGCGAATATCCACAGCAACGCCCTACATGAATGGGGAAACAGCCACAAAGTCTCTCTGGACTATCAACGGAACGCTGAGGATCAGGATACTGTGTGCCACTTACGTCAATGTCAACATCAGAGACATTGACAAGGTACACTGGCGTGGTGCTATGACCACTACATCTTGTTTTATTTATAGCTTCTCTGCTTTGTTCTGCTTTGTCAAAGATAAACTCTGACTGTAATCTCACATCACCAGCACCTCTGAGGTTATTAGAAGATTGTTCACACCGTGCAGTCAGAAATCCACTGGAAGATATCTCACCACTTGATGGATTAGTATATAAAACTGTTGTTGTTGTGGCTGCTCTAGATCTACGTCAGGACGGGGATATACCACGGTGGAGAGCAGCTGTGTGACAATGTCAACACTCAGCGCGTGCCCTGCTCGAACCCCAGGTAGTACACAGTGAAGAATGGCACTCCACACACTGGGATTCCACTCAGCTTTGCGACAGTGACGTGATTGATTATGTTAATGGTACCTTCCCTGTTTTTTCCAGGTGGAACGAGTGGCTGAACTACGACATGTACATTCCAGACATCCCCCGTGCTGCCCGGCTCTGCCTCTCCATCTGCTCTGTGAAAGGAAGGAAAGGGGCGAAAGAGGTTAGAGATGAAATGCTGAAATGCTACATTAAAGTTATAATGCTTAAAGGGACAGTTCACCCCCCAAATTTCCTCTTACCTGTCATGCTTTTTATCAGTCTAGATTGTTTTGTGAGTGTTGGAGATATCGGCTGTAGAGATGTCTGTCTTCTCTCCAGTATAATGGAACTAGTTAGCACTCTTGCCAAAAAAAATAAATAAAAATAGACTTGAAACACTCAACAGCAATGTCTCTTTCCTCCAAGATAATCCACAGACCTTGTCATCAGCAGTTTCATGTAGGAAATGCTTCTTTCTGCTGAACTACACCCACTATCTGTATTACTGCACAGAAGGAAGTGTGCATCTTCTCATGACAGCATGAGATGTAAACATTAATGGCGTCGTCTTCAGCTGAGCTGCAGTCTTAGCTAGCTCCGTGGTGCTAGGCGAGCTAGCAGTAAATGCACACTTCCTTCTGAGCAGTGATTCGGTTGGTTGGTGTAGTTTTAAAGAGAAAGAAAATAGTTCCTTCATGATACTGCTCACAACCAGGTCTGTGGATTATCTTGAGTAACTGGGCCATGGTTTCTGGTAAGAGAAGAAGAAGAAGATATACTTTATTAATCCCCAAGGGGAAAATCATTTTTTTTCACTCTGTTGTCATACACACACAAGCCCAATATACAAACATATGCAAAAACAGGACCTAAACATGCATTAGATGGAGAGATGTCAGAGTTTGGTGTTCGGTGCCTTGCTCAAGGGCATCTCTGCAGTGCCCAGGAGGTGAACTGGCACCTCTCCAGCTACCACTTCATGCTCCATATTTGGTCCGGACAGGGACTTGAGCTGGCAACCCTCTGGTTCCCAACTCATGCCCCTATTGACTTGGCTACTGCCGCCCAAGAGACAGTGCTGTTGTCTTACCAACCACGTCTCAGCGCAGAAGGAAGCGTGCATCTACTGCTAGCTCACCTAGCACTACAGAGCTAGCTAATGTTACAGCTCAACCAAAGAGGATGCCATTAATATTTACATCTCACACTGTCACAACCATGGCCCTCTTGTCCGTGAGTAGATGTATGGTTTCGTTTGCAGCAATAAAGTTGGCGGGTGAAGTTTGGTAGAAAGAAAATAGTTCCTACATGAAACTGCTCACAACAAGGTCTGTGGATTATCTTGAGTAACTGGGTTATGATTTCTGGAAAGAGACATTGCTGTTGAGTTTTTCAAATGTACTTTTTTGGCACTTTGAGCACCACAAGCTGAGTGACATCTAGTTCCATTATATTGGAGAGAAGGCAGACATCTCTACAGCTGATATCTCCAACACTCAGCAACTCACACCAAAACAATCTAGGTTGATAGAAAATACTACAGGCAAGATGAAAACATATATTTTGATTTATGGGTGAACTGTGCCTTAAACATTAGCTTTAGTTGATTTGATGATATTGTGGTTACTAGTAGTAACAAGAAATGTGTTTTAATACTACAGCAAACACTCCTTATATATCAAAGGAGCAACTGGTGTGTCTGCTCACAGCGCAGTCAAACAAGGTGGCATTGTTTTAATTAAGATGTCAGTCAGTGACTGGCCTTCTTCCATCATGCCATGAGCAACTGCGCTCTGATTTCATGACGGGCATGGCACAAGTAGTTTTCCACAACAGCAGAGCGGAGTGAAAGGAGTTGGTTAATTAGGCGAGGAGGTGAAGGCATGCAGCCTGTCATCTGCAGCTCTTCATGTAACAGCTCATTGTGGCTGCTCTTTCTTGTTTTATTAATTTCTGCAATAGATAAAACGGATCCGCTGTCAAAAAGAACCAAAAATGACGTGTTTTGCAGACGTATTTTTTCATGAACAATCGCCCCAGGGACAAATACATTGCGTTTCCTGTGTCACGATAAAAGCTACTCACTGATTGAACACTTTTATGTAAATCAGCAGGAGGAAGAAATGTTGGGTTTCAAACAGTGAGGTTGGTGTCAGAGAGATAAAACAGTAACGCTGGATCATATTCATGCGTCGTTTTCCTGTGAATCTCTTGTGCGTAGGTGGGCAATTTGAATCCAGGGCTGCAATGACAGACTCTGCCAGTAACAATAAAAACAACTATATAGAAACGTAATTCATAGTTGCCAATCCCCCTCGATTTTTCCAGGGAGACTTCGGTTTTTTATTGCCCTCTTACTGTTTCCTCCCAGGGTCGCAATTCTCTCATACTTCTCCAAATTTATGACAAATTCTCACACATTTTTTGTCATTTTTTGTTTTTACAACCTGTCTCTGGCACTGTGCAGCAAGTGTAAGCCCTGTGACTCTGAAAGTTTACAGTTCCTACCTGTAAAACAATACAGTGATGCATAAGAGAGCTGCTCGCGCCTCCTTGTCTTTCTCAGTGAGGCGAAAGGAATACTTGAGCAAATTTCACATGTCCTAGAAAGAAGTGTTCCTGTTTCTTACAGAAAGTTTGAAAGAAAGGGGCATGCATTTTGTAAAAACTGCCTTGTCGATTCTTCCATCAAGCATGGGGGTTGCACAGTGAGCTGAAATGAATGAATGAAAACTGATGAATATTAGTTTATGCCAGGGATTCATGCAAGTTCACGCAAGAGGGGAAAGTTATTCTGTACTCTTTCCTGAGAATTAAAAGTGTTTACCAGGAAAATGCTGCTGGATTGTACTAATTTTTTTTGTTCTTTAAAAGTAATCAGAATGCAAAGTCTCCCCCAAATTTGGTTTTAAAATCCTCAGTATGTTTTAGGTGTCAAGGTTTGCAAGTATAAAGTTAGAGAGTGTAAATACTTTAAATGGATTTTGCCTAAAAAATGCTGGTCGTGAATAAAATTAAAATCAGAAACAGGGATTTTGTAAAGCGACCTTTTGAATGTTATATTCAAATTCCTACTCAATCTATTCTTGTTTCATTCTTATTCAAATCAGAGCAGTTAGCAGAGGCGGTTAACGCAGGCATGGGAAATAAACAACCTCCCTGTGTTGTGCGCTGCACCTGTCTGCTCCGTAGCCTCGAGCAGTTGCCTCGCTAATCATTTTCCTATGCATCATCTTACTGGTATTCTCCTGCAGGAGCACTGTCCTCTGGCCTGGGGCAACATCAACCTGTTTGACTACACCCACACATTAGTATCAGGGAAGATGGCTCTCAACCTATGGCCTGTCCCACACGGCCTGGAAGACCTGCTCAACCCAATCGGTGTCACTGGCTCCAACCCCAACAAGGTGAACAGCAAATGTCAACATCATGAACACAATGCTTAGTCCCTGTTTGTGCTTCCAGTCATGTCTTGTCCTTTTTCTACAGAGCAAATAGTGGCGTGATGGACAAATGTAAACAGACATTGCTCTCCTTTGTTCTTTCATTTAAGTCTTTTCCTGTCGGTTAACCAGAAAATATGTTATTTCAAATGAAATACAAAGCTGTATATGCCAAAAATGAATGTAAATTGCACAGGATGTCAAAGAAGATTTCTTTTAGTCACATCTGACAATACTAAGAAGATAGAAAAACATGGCACAGAACAATCTTTTCAAAGCTTTTCAGGTATTATGCACTGACCTCTAAGCCCCATGACCCAGTTTAAATTGAGCTGGTGACGACATGTAGAGTTTCACAGCCGGATTTAAGCCGCACAGATTTAATCAACCAAGCTTCTTATCCCATTTAATTAGATACTCATTGATACAGGTGCCATTTTTGATTACAGTAAAGACCTTTCCCCTCTCACCACTATCTCACCCTGCAGGAAACACCTTGTCTGGAGCTGGAGTTTGACCATTTCAGTTGCCCCGTCAAGTACCCCGATATGGCCATCATCGAGGACCACGCAAACTGGAATATATCCAGAGAGCTTGGCTTTAATTACTGCCACACCGGTTTGGTAAGATAACAAGCATTTTTTTAATTATGTGGTTTGTGTCACTTCATTCACCCTGAGCTCTGATTTTCATTGTGAGCTGCTGACACATTGTTGTTCACTCACACCACAGACGGTAAATTAACACCTTTTCATTCATAATGACACAGGACTGTAGGGCTGGGAAACTGTAGGCACCTCATCAATCGATCTGGGCTACGATACGATGGTAAAATGCATCCTAGTGGATCAAAAATTTGGATTTCTGTACATCATTTATTTTTATCTCACTGTGTGGCTACTTGCTACTTTTAAAACAGCATATTGGTAATGATTCATGATTAAAATAAACTAGGGCTGTCACAGGATTAATTTTTAATTGCGATTAATCGCTAAATTTCAAGAGTTAATCACGATTAATTGCTTTTTTTTATAATTGCATGTTTAACATTCTAGCATTTTGTATATCAAAACACCTTTTTTTGGGGGGGGGCATTTTTTTTGCCTTTAATTGGTAGGAAAGCGAAGTGTGAGGTGGGGAGAGAGAGGGGGAGTGACATGCAGCAAAGGGCCACGGGCTGGAATCGAACCTGGGCCGCTGTGGCAACAGCCTTGTACATGGGGTGCCTGCTCTACCACTAAGCTACCAACGCCCCTTCAAAACACTTGAAGTACATACTAACCAGAGTTAGTTTGTAACCAGACTGAGACCACCTCTTCAAGAAGGTCTCTGTCCGGTTGTTTTGGTGTGCACCTGAGTGTGATTGCTGTGTTCACACCTGCCCTAATGAAGCGCACTTAGGGGGCAAATTAACTTGAGTTCGACTGAACCGAACCAAACACGGCAGGTGTGAAAGCACCCTAAATCAAGTGGGGTGCAAGTCAGAGTCATGTCTGGCAGGTAACTATAAAATATAAAAAAAAATAGCTCTGTCAAACCATAGGTCACATAACAGCACACAGCTCACAGCAAATGATGGAATATATCACCAGAAAAAACAGCACTGCACAAACAAATAGACCTCAGCTCAGTTCAGTCCACTGAATCTGTTTTCTGTTTTCTTGGCAACCCTTCACAGTTCAGTCCCAGTCGTGCTGTAAACCACCGAAACAAAACACAGCTCAAAAGTGCTGCAGGTTTTTACTGTGGTTCTCCACAAAACAAATGCATCTGTATTTGCAGTTCAGTGACAGGAAATTATTTACAATATATACACCCGGTACTGCAGTACCACTGACCACTGAGTAAGGCAGTTAGTTTGGTTTGTCACACTTAACTTTCTCAAGACTGCAACTCTGAAGAAAGAGAAACTCCAACAGCGACAATGGGGCAGTGATCCTCCTACTAACACCAGTTTGCTTTCCATGAGTGGACTAAATAACATGGACTTAGATCATGCTCTGATGCCCAGGGTAAAGCTGCCGTACTCTTCTTCACTGACCAACAGCAGCGGTGGCTTTGAGAACGACTAACAGTTTTTTCTCTGCAGGTGCATAATATGTTTAACTTGTCAACTGAACCGTCTGGGAGGTTTTTAAAGTGAAACGAGCCATTAATAAAGCACAGTGGTGTCTTATTTTCCCATTGCTATAGCAGCAGGAGGCAGAGAGCCATTTTAAAAAAATGAAATGTTGATATTGTAATAATAATACACTCGTTAAGTCACTGATGATGCATCAGAGTCTTGAAGGGTTGTCTCATTTCATAGGGGAAGATTTCAACTACTTCCCCTTGTAACTCTGTTTCCGAGGGGCAAAAGGGCACTTAAAAATGAGGGGTAGGGGTAAAAATAAGAAATGGGATTGGGCCATAATCTTTCAACAGAGTAATTCATTTTTCACCACCCCTGCAACATGGTGCTGACATTGTTGTTCCGTTTATTAAACTACGTGTTGCATGTGTTATATGGCGTCATAGAGTAACAGACTGGCGCGTGACAACCCCCTGACTGACAGCGACAATGAGCAGCTACGCCAGGTGTGTAACAGAGACCCGCTGTCTGAAATCACTGAGCAGGAGAAAGACTTTCTGTGGAGGCACAGGTAATGTGTGTGCGCCTGTATGCCATTATGTGGCGTATCTGAGGGGTCAAAACAATTACACTTTACACAGAAGTCACTGTGTGTTGCCATGTCATTGAAGTTAGAATTAATTTGCTCTCTCCCCAAACTGTTTTAGACAAGACTGCCTCAACATGCCAGAGATCCTCCCCAAGATCCTCCTGGCTGTGAAATGGAACTCCAGAGATGAGATTGCACAGGTACGCTCAGGTTTCTGCTGCTGACACCTTTATTTTGAAGGACACCACACGGGGAAATAGATGTGTGCCTAACCCACTGTTATACTAATGCAACTCAGCCGATACTTACCCAGATAGTGCACACAAACATGTTGTCTCAGGTGTTGTAGTGTTGTTTAAAAATGGCAAGAAAGATAAAAATGTCTGAGGTCAGTTTTATTTTGTCATTTCAGATGTATTGCCTCCTGAAGGACTGGCCTGCTATCAAGCCAGAGCAAGCCATGGAGTTGCTGGATTGCAACTTCCCTGACCCTATGATCAGAGAGTTTGCTGTAAAGTGCCTTGAGAAATACCTAACTGATGACAAACTCTCACAGTACCTCATTCAGCTGGTTCAGGTGTGTTGCATCCTCATCGTATTATTGTGAGAGGAAGGTTGAGGTTTCAGTTTCATACACTTTAAGATTTTTTTTTAGGCAAATAATAATGTTTAATGGTGTTTTCTCTGTTTCCTGTGCCCAGGTTCTAAAGTATGAGCAGTACCTTGACAACCCGCTTGCACGCTTCCTGCTAAAAAAGGCATTAACCAATCAAAGGATAGGACATTTCTTCTTCTGGCATTTAAAGTGAGTTCATTTTAAAAGTTCTTCTTTTAATTTGTAGCTGTTTGTCCATGATTTGAATGGTTAAAGTGATGTTTGAATTAGGGATGGGCCTTTTTAAGTTACTTCAATATTCAAGTATTTGTATTAAATTATTGTACAGTACTCACAAAAAAATCTAGCATCTAAATTGGCCAACAATGAAAAAACAAGTGCAATCCAAATTGAGTTCTGGAATTGTCACGGCCACCCCTAGTTTGAATGTCACTAACTGTCAGGTCTCCAGTCACGTTGAATTCAAGAAAGTTCTGTGAATTCAGCTGATGTCAGTTGATGTTTTGGGATACTCTGTGTCTGTTTGTATTAGAGCTTTGATTCTCTGCCCAAACTTGATTGGGCTTGACCTGACCCGCCGAGTCTGGCTGGACAGTGGTTTCTGAAAATTCCCCCCGGGCTTGAATCTGGTTGGTTTTGCTACAGTTTCCTGGTGTTTTTTTTTTTTTTTTTAATTTTTATTCGTCTTCAATTCAGACCGTATACAGGACAGCTGTTGGGAAATTTGGGCAGGGGAACAACATTTTCAAAAGTCGGCCCCTTATCGAAACCGGCATTCTGACTGAGCTGGTCAGGATGCAGTCTGGCTCACGTTTACCTCAGCAGCACTTGTGAGCGTTGCACATCCACCTGACCCATGTCGGATGGACCGCACCACTTCTCATACCTGCATGGGGTGGGAGCATCAGATGGCATGTTTAAATGTATGTTAATAAATACATATAACTTGTATTGTCAGTGATTTCAGTAGGTAAATTGTTGTACTTGATCCAATTTAAGAGTCAACCGTAGACTTTTTCATGGGCCCTCTTTGGCCTTAAGCTGGGGTCATCTCTACCCTTTGACCCCAATGATGGCAGACCTGATGTTGTAGTATCTAAACCCTGCCTGTCATCTTTATTTATCTGATCTTTATTTAGTGTCTATGTTAAATGATGGTTTTTGGATTGTGCTGAACATTTGGTAAGAGAAGGCGCATGTCACACATTTCTGTCAACGAAAAAGAAAAGTTAAAGTGCAAATTCAGGTTTTCATTTTGGCCCAAAACTGCTGTCGTGGTTCAGGCTTGGACAGAAACTCTGTGAGTTCATGTCGGGTCAGGCCTGATTTCTTTTTTTGGCCCTAATCATAGCTCTAAATTCTACGGATGCTGGACACATTTCTCATCAGGACCCAAACAACCCCTAATGTTTTTCCTTCTCTCACTGATATGTGTGCAGGTCAGAGATGCACAACAAGACAGTCAGCCAGCGGTTCGGCCTGCTGCTCGAGTCGTACTGCCGGGCCTGTGGCATGTATCTGAAGCACCTGAGCAGACAGGTGGAGGCCATGGAGAAACTCATCAATCTCACTGACCTCCTCAAACAGGAGAAGAAAGATGAGGCGCAGAAGGTAATCCGACAGCCGGCAGCTGTTAACTGTGATCCATTGAGTCGTTGAGTTTAATCCTGATAACATCTGGACCAATCAGGCCACAGAGAAGCCACAATACAGCTGAGTGATTGAGTTTGGACAGGTGCTTTTTTCACTTTGCTTGCTGCTAAATATATTTTAACCACACATTTCTAAAACAAAACAAGGTGATCCTTATAATAGCCGTAGATTTATGCAGTGTATTCTTAAATTACAGCTGGTGCTTACACAGGTTGGTTCCAAAAAAGGCCGGTATGACCTCTGATAATGTTTGCATGGTTCATTTAGCATAATTAATATCTCCGCAGTATCACTTCCATCAGTATCAGTGGCTCTTAAGTTTTAAATAAAAATACCAGTCCATTACCATTTAATTCTGATTGACTGTACACATCAGAGCTTCAGCTGCTGTTAATGAAGGTCAACACTTGTAAATGATTTACTATAAAAGCCTTCTAGGCAAGTGAAATGAGCAGCAATCACAGATTAATGCTTCTTAATAGAGTATGATGGAATTTCTTGTAAAACAGGGTACATTAGGGGAAAAGGCATATCGTCTATAATGATGCTCAAATAAAGCAAATAAAGGCCTTCACTTAAAAAAATATAGGCACTTCCTTTGAATAGGGTGCTATTTAAGATGTATAAAAAGATGGTCACTTCTATGCGCCATATAAAAATGAAGCCAAAATATCCTGGATACAGCCGTTGCCACCTTGTGCCGGTCATCAGGAACCAGAGTCTGCGCAGTAGTGATGTCCACATAATCGAGTTACCGCCGTCTGACCAATCTCAAGCAGCACCATTGAACATGAGCACACCAATTGGCACACACAGCTGTCAGTCATGACGTCAAACCCCTTTTTATAGCATCAAACAGCTAATTAAAACCAATCTCATGAGAAAAATGTATACTTGAACATGCATCCGCATAAGAACTACCTAAAATGAGATTGGGAAAAATTTATTTGACATGTATTCCATCTTTTAGTTCAGTATTTAAGTGCTGTCTAAAGGGAGGAGGTTATAGCCACTAGCTAATGTGCCAGTCATACTGGTGGTGGTGTCTATGCAGATACATTGGTTAGCTAGTTAACCAGCAGATTGACGTACTGTCTGAATTTTCTGTTATTAAATAGCGTTCATCAGTGATGAAATGACCAGCCCCCAGCCCCACAGCGCAAAACTGCAGTGCTCTGTGAGGCTGCATTCAGTTAAAGTTTAAAAATTTTGCTGAGGAAAAGCAGCAGGCAGACTGTTCCTACTGTGCATTTACCAGCTGTGTGACCTGCCAGCTGTCTAAACAAGGGTGTACGTTTTGCTATAACATCTGGGCGGGGGACACATATTAAGCAGGGGGCTGGGGGTCATCCCCCTATATATTCAGAGCATCAAACATGGTGAATTTTTAGGCATCAATTTGTGCCTTTTCTGCATTAATCAATGGTAGAAATATCATGGTACTTACACTTCAGTCATGTGAGTTGGTTGATCTTTATGTTTCATGGTAGATTGTAAATGTTGCTTTTGAAGTTGGCAAAATTGCGTTTCCCAAGATAGCGAAGGTCTGATCCACCCTACTTTCCCCCTGACTGGCTAGTACTCGTTGCCTTCGTTGGTTAGGTTGGCAAGGGGAGTGAGACTGTTTAGGGTTAGGGTAAGAATGTCAGTAAGGCAGAATAGTGTTCATGCCTTTGCTTTCCACAAATTGTATGGGGTTGCACACTGCCACCACATACTTTACTGGAGAAATTGTTGCATTAATGAGTTGCGCTCTAGCAGCACATCAAAGTGTAAGTCGTCTGCCACATTCATGTTTTTGTTGGAGGGGACAAATGCACATATTTTAAATGTTAAGATGGACATGTCTCCTTAATACTACTTAATAATAATATCTTTTTCTCACCTCAAATTCTTTCAGAAAACATATTTTAGTGTACTGTTTAGCTGTAGAATGAGAAAGTTTATGACCCCTGTTTGAAACACTAGAGCTGAAACAGAACACCACCCACCAGCCGCAGCCTAGTTTGACAGTTTGACCACAGTTCAGAAGCAGTGATTGTGATGTGATTGACAGCTGCGTTAGAGACTCCTCGGCTCTGACTGGTTGTTTTCAGTGAGCAGTAGCAGACTCTAGCAAATCCCAGTAGAAGCAGTAGGAAGAGGAGGAGGAACATGATTTTTATCTGACTTGCACTTCTTTCAGAATTTTGTGACAGTTGCGGCAAATATGTCAAAAAGTTATTTCCGTAAAAGTTACCCAACTGTAGCTTTAACTCACATGATGGTGCGTTTCTCTCCTTGAAGGTTCAAATGAAGTTTCTGGTGGAGCAGATGAGAAGGCCTGATTACATGGACGCCCTGCAGAGCTTCACCTCCCCACTGAATCCAGCACATCAGCTGGGAAACCTCCGGTACATCAGCACTCTCTCATCTTACTCTCTCCTCTGATGAAGTGGCTGACATTTATTATTTATTTTCTCTGCAGGTGTTGCTTTTGCCTTGTCTTCTTCAAGGCTTAAGATGTTATTACGTAATACGAGTCAGTGTTTTTTATGTGTGGATAAAGAAAATGTAGGAACACAAGGAACTGCCTCATTTGCAGTAAACCCAGTCCACATGACTCAGCTGGGATGGAATAATGTATATATGTTTTTTGAGTCACATTTCCTCCTCAGACATTTCCCCATTTGTGTTTCAGCCTGGAGGAATGCAGGATGATGTCGTCAGCCAAGCGGCCTCTATGGCTTAACTGGGAAAATCCAGATATGATGTCAGAACTGCTCTTTCAGAACAACGAAATCATCTTCAAAAATGGAGATGGTGAGTTTGTCCATGAAATAAAATAGAGTAGAAAGAACTGTTTGCTCTGATTGTTTGACTAATACAACAGAAAATGGCGATTTCTGTTAGTTGTTAAACACACGGCTGTTAATGTGTCATACTCCCTAATTTGAGGACTATTTTCTGCCTATTATCACACCTATTTTTCTCACTAAACAAGAAAACACAGCTGTACACCAATCCAAGTTTCTGTCTTTCACTGAACTAAGACTAACATTAGCTTGATTGCCTCGTTAGTTCATCGTAAAACACACTTAATTAAACCTCCAAAACCATCTTGTTAGTCATCTAGTTAGCCCACTGTTCACACAATCAACACCTCTGTTTGGGCTGGTCCTTAACTCACTTAGATAGATGTGAAAATATGCAGATCTTCTGGCTGTTTATCCTCTTGGTCTCTTTGTAGTCATTCTCACATATGAACTCCGGACAGTGTCCGGAGAATCAGATCCTGAGTTTCCTTTTAATACATGGAGTAACAGGAGACTGTCTGTGTGTGAAGTGTTCTCGTCTACTGAATATTATGTCAGTCGAATCAGATCTGGCTGATCAATACGAATTTTTGATGACATGTTTTTACTGAACGGGCTCAGTGGGACATTCAGAGTGACAGTGCCATTCACATATACAGTTAACAAGCTAACTGCACATTTCGGAAGTGTGTGATAACATTTTTTTGCAGACACTAGATATCAAAGAAAAGCCAGAGACTGTATCGTATTAAGTTGCCGTGAGCTGTAATTTTGCAACCTCTGAGCAGAAGCAAAACTATAACGTTATCTCAGAGCCTTATGGTGCAAAATGTCTCCTCCTCCGAGAGTAGCATGAAAGTCAAGAGCGCTCACTCTGCAGCAGAATCTGGGGACCACAACAAACTCAGAAACACACCGCACAGCACACTGACTTGCCAAAAATCAGAAAAGACTGCTCGACTTTAATTCGAATCTCCAACTTTTAAGGGACAGCCCTATTGGAAATCTTCCATTCTGTTTAGGTGAGGGTTGGCGCCAGGACACAATGTGGATTACACCACGGTCATGTCACCAGATTGTAATTTGATTTAAAAAAAAACAGTCTTTTGCTGTTCCTTTAATTCGTCTGACGATTTCGTCTTCGGCCTGTACTGACAAGTCTCTGAATCTCCTTGTTGCTGTCTTTGTGTAAATGGCCCTTTGGGTGTTTGTTTTCTTTCTGTTTCGTGCTCGTCTCCAGATAGACACGTCATCAACACACCAATTTGCTCACTGTGAATTTTCCAGACACCTGCTCTATTCTTACATGGGCTCAGTTGAACATTGCATGGACTTTTTACTAGTGTGTTAAAGGAGCTATATGTAAGAAATCTAAAGCAAATAGTCGTAAAATCATCCTAATATGTCACAGAGACTAAGGAATAATGTTCAGATAACATACTGATCTCACCGACAACAATAGTATGGCCAGAATATTCGCATTTAAAAAAATTTTTTACAGTCTGCAAATCATGTTTATGTTTTGAATTTGTGTTTTGGCCTGTTGCGCCACCCACCGCCGTCTACCAGTCACGCAGTCAGTAGAGTCTCAGCATCAGTTACAGTTACGACTGAGCTACAGCAGCACGGCAAGCAGCATTAGCAGTGTCCCGGTACATAGCATTAGCAGCCGGCTCCTCATGAGCTGTATCCCGGCAGCAGCGTTAGCAGCAGAGAAGCCGGACTTGCTTGAACGGTCCGCTGGAAAACCGAAGATCAAGGACGCGGTGACACGGCCCTGCCATGGCAGCCGCCTGTGGACAAACAAATCAGTCTCCAGCGTGCCGCTGTCCAGCAACCTCGAATCTGTAGGGGAGGGGGGGCGGACACAACTCGCGGGAGTATTTTGAATTTGAGTGCAGTAACCGTTTTGGCCACATTCTTACATACAGCGCCTTTAATAGGATAAAGTCTGTTTAATGTCTGATTCAGCTGATTCAGACATTTGTGTTCTCACATACAGCTCCTTCGGGTATGTCAAGATTATTTCAGGTTCGCAGTGCATGTGTGAAAGGGGCTCCTGTCTCTGAGCTGTTCGCTGAGCAGCAGCTCTCACTCGTTTGTCGAAGGCAGCTACAATAACGTTACACCGTGTTTTCAACAAATGAGGAAATAACACATTTTGATGTAAAAATTGCTCATTTTCCACTGCTCGTTTGGTCGTCAGCAAATGCACACCTTGGTGAGCTCTTGACTACAAGTTGGTTTGATTGTATGGAAATTTATACAGAAGTTAGCCAGCTACAACTGTTGCAGTGGCAGCAGTACATATAAAAATGGCTGCCACTCTGACCATCCTGCGATGTTGAATTGAATGGGGACGTTTGTTCACTCTCATTCTGTTTCTATGGTTTTGTATCAGTGCTTTTGCCTTGTATCTTTGTGACTGCCTCTATCTCCATCCTTCCCTCTGTGTATCAGCACACACACACACATGCAAACACAAACACACACACAGACTTGAAAAAGCTCTTGCTGAGCATGCAGCATAATTCAGTCTGAGCCTGTAGGGCACATCATGGCACACAAACACAACCTCATCCATGTTCTTTACACGGAATTCAGAAAGAACAAGTCACATTATTTGAATCACACTTTAGTGCAGCTGTTTGTGCGTTTTGCTGCACCATCTGTGACAAAACTGACTCTGACAGCTCTGCACCATGAGGCATCATGGAGTTGATCAAAGAGCAGCGAAGCAGCTAATATTCACCTTACTGTCATCCACCTCCTCGTCTCTCTGTGCCTCCGCAGATCTGAGGCAGGACATGCTGACGCTGCAGATCATTAGGATAATGGAGAACATCTGGCAGAACCAAGGCCTTGATCTCAGGTAGGCTCCTCACTACACCACGACAGCAAAGATGCAGGTGCACATTAACAGGTGCTGGATACTTTCATGTTCTGCACTCCATACCTGAATGCAGATTAGTGGCAGCCCCTGCGAGCCACCTCGACTTGTTTGATATGAAGTCTGTCGCTGCTGTCCTAATTAATTCTGCCTCTCTTTGTGTTTCTTGTCCTTCCTCTCCCAGGATGTTGCCATATGGTTGTCTGTCAATCGGCGACTGTGTGGGTTTGATTGAGGTGGTGAGGAACTCTCACACCATCATGCAGATCCAGTGTAAAGGCGGCCTAAAGGGGGCACTGCAGTTCAACAGCCACACACTGCATCAGTGGCTCAAGGATAAGAACAAGGGAGAGATGTGAGTGGTAAAAACAGTCATTTATACAGCTCATCCAGGCTTTGGGTGGGCATAGAGGGGTGTTACTGACAATATAAAGAATAATGTGAAGACTCAGGGTTTGAAAAACTCCCAATCCTCTTTGAGACTGAAGTATTTTCCATTTGTTTGATATTTTTCAGGTATGACCAGGCCATAGATCTGTTCACACGTTCATGTGCAGGCTACTGTGTAGCCACGTTTATCCTGGGCATAGGGGACAGACACAACAGCAACATCATGGTCAAAGATGATGGACAGGTACAGATTACATGTACCTTTCTATGCTGTATATGCATACTTTCTGTTTCCCTCCTGAATGATTATTTAATGTCTTACGTTTTTTGTCTTCTCAGCTGTTCCACATAGACTTCGGCCATTTCCTCGACCACAAAAAGAAGAAGTTTGGGTACAAGAGAGAGCGCGTGCCCTTTGTGCTCACACAGGACTTCTTGATCGTTATTAGCAAAGGAACTCAAGAGTGCACCAAAACAAGGGAGTTTGAAAGGTAACACCAGCAACAGACATGAGTGTATTATATTGGGATTAAAGAAGAATGACTATAAAACATATCAAAGCCATATCAGAATGTCCTGCACTTGTCGGCAGCCCTTTGTACAACGAGACCCTGTAATACTGCCACAACAAAGACCCTTTAGTTTGCCGGCTTTGCGTTTATATGCACACCTAAACAATGCCTTCATAATGCCCCCAGGGTTGGCTGAACTTTTTTTGTCCACCTGCCACTCAGTAGATTACCATTGTTTTTTAGGCTGGTCAATCAATCAATCAATCAGTTTTATTTATAAAGCCCAATATCACCAATCACAATTTGCCTCACAGGGCTTTACAGCATACGACATCCCTCTGTCCTTATGACCCTCGCAGCGGATAAGGAAAAACTCCCCAAAAAAACCCCTTTAACGGGGAAAAAAAACGGTAGAAACCTCAGGAAGAGCAACTGAGGAGGGATCCCTCTTCCAGGACGGACAGATGTGCAATAGATGTCGTACAGAACAGATCAACATAATAAATTAACAGTAATCCGTATGACACAATGAGACAGAGAGAGAGACAGAGAGAGAGATGCAGGTAATAACAGTAGCTTACAACAACATTGTTGAAAGTAATAATATTATAGTTCTGGCTACTGTGGTACTCTGGTGAATGAAGCCAGTCCACTTGCATATTTTACCAGTATTTGGCTGGTGGCTGGTGCAAATTCCTAACCTTGAATGCCACTATAGTTTGTGGTTTTAGATAGCATACCATGCTAGTTTTTCAATTAAGTTCAATTCAATTTATTTATAAAGCCCAATATAACAATTTGAGTTGTGATAGCTCGAGTCAGCCCTAGTCGGCTGTTTTTTCTTTTTTGTTTTGTGTTACAGCTGATTTAATATGTTGAATCGGATGCAGAGCTGGTAGAGCCTGTTGGTGAGAGAAATCCCTCTGATTGGTAGTTTAGCTCAGTGCACAAGAAGAGAAAGAGAAGTGAGGAAAACAAATTAACAGTCAAGGTCAAGAGGGCGTGATGGTGTAACTGACTTGTTGTACAAGGTAAGATAATTTCTTTTAGCTACTGAGCTCTTTAGCAGAAACGGGTTTTGGTTAACTAGCGCACGATATATAACCTCTGTTCTTTCACAGTTGGGTGTTGTTAATGTGCTAACTGGCTAACTAGCATCTTCAATCCATCCTGTTGGTCTTCCAGTTTCCCTGTTTTTTGATGAGGAATACAGACTATAACCACCTGCAGCTATGGAGAGTTATACCTTCTCATGCAGGCGCATAACGTATATGCTAGTTGGCTGTTGGCTGTAGTGTTTGCGGTGTGTTCAAGCACAACTTTTTTGCCAAGACATGGGCAATGTGAGGTGATGCAACAGTCAACCTTTATCGTTACTAGTTCTTTGATGTCAGTTTGGTGTTTCTGAGCCGTAACATAATGGAGTCAGCCTCTAGTGTGACATACAGCATACATGTCAGGTGTTTTCTTAATGATAACAATGGCGGACATTTTTGGTTGCTATTCTCGTTCTTTGGGTTAACTGCTAACTGCTGCTAGCTGCTTCTTAAATCTCCTCATGATGGGTCGCACACATAACATGTCGTCAAAATGTCAAACGCATCCTGCCAGTTGTGTACTGTTAGTACCTTGTCTGCTGGCTTAAAGGCGAAGCAACGCTATTCCCTGTCAGAATTCGTACCATTTCTACAGAACAGCGAGACAGAGGAACGTCGTAACATTCGCACCTTGAACAGGCAGCACAAAAGGCACATTTGTCCCCACTTTTCTTCCGTGCTTGTATTCCTATTTGTAAATTTTTTCTGCTCCCTCCTCAGGTTCCAGGAGATGTGTTACAAGGCGTACCTGGCAATCCGGCAGCATGCCAACCTCTTCATCAACCTCTTCTCCATGATGCTGGGCTCAGGGATGCCTGAGCTGCAGTCGTTCGACGACATCGCTTACATTAGAAAGACGCTGGCTTTGGACAAGACGGAGCAGGAGGCCCTGGACTAATTCATGAAGCAGATGAACGACGCTCACCATGGCGGCTGGACTACCAAGATGGACTGGATCTTCCACACAATCCGCCAGCACGCCATGAACTGAAATGACGCGAAAGAGGAGTAAAGGACTGCGGAGACAACAGCACACTAAGAACCAAAAGAATAGTGAGAGGAGAGCGAGGTATTTTCCCCAAACACACTAAGGCCTGGTTAATACGTCTGCCAGCGTGTGACTCTGAAACATTACCTGCCAGCGCACCACAAAATAAGGGTGCTCAGAAGGGCCTATTTCAGGGACATGATGCTTAAATGCTCCTGTTTCTGCAGGTTTCTGAATCTCTCCTCCCTGCACTATGAACAAAGGCAGGGCGGAGTGTCATCAGTCTTCTTCATAGGAACTAAAGTGTAATGGATCGACAATGTTGACAGATTTTTATTTTTCTTATTTTTTATTCCTTTCAGTACATCTACAACCATCAGCATTAAGAAAGGAACATCATGAAGTGGTGTACCATGAGCACAGCCGGCTTTTTCTAAGGATGACCTGACAAAAGTGTATCTGCTTTATTTCCACTACCTATTTTGAACTGATGAAGACGGGGGGGAGATATCGGCGCACACAGCCACGCCAGCTGAGACAGAATGAAAGGGACAATGAGGAGCTGACGTGTGCCCACAAAAATCATATTACCCTCCTTTACAATCATAAAAATCAATCACCAACACTATACCACAGGACTGACAGAGGACGTGTTGTTAAACACTTAGCTAGCATTTAACGCTTTTGGAGCAACTGAACTTATTTGTAGCCTACGGATGACGTGTTCTCAGTTTAGAAATCACGCCAGATAACTGACTTTTGTACAGCAGTATATCCATAGACTTGTATGCATTCGGTGCACATATTCCTTTTTGAGTCTATTTTCTACTGAGCCAAAGTACTAGATGTGTAACTCCACTACTCAGCAGTCTTATTGTAAAAAAGAAAAATAGTCAATACTATTCCAAGTCTCTCGTGTGTACTCATAGCACTGATCTCTGCAGTATTTGTTTTGTTTCGTCTATCAGTATTATCATGCGTCCGGCGTCGAGGCACAAATGTCCGTCCTCCACCCCACACAGTTGGACCGGAGAAAACCTTTCTGACGGTCAGCCGTTTAGGAGGTTATGAATTGTGATAGGGTTGGGTACCGTTCACATTTTACTCTGTACCGATACCCAGCAGTACCTTTTTTACTCTTCTCTATTCACACATAGAGCTAAGTATCTGTCTTAGCTCTACCGTGTGCCTGTGTGTGTGTCTGCCCGTCTCTCTCACACTCTTTTTAGAATAAGTAAGCAATTAAAAAAACACCACCTCAAACGGCAGTGATACAAGGCTATTCCTAAAATAAAATAGAAAGGAAAACAAACCAGACCAAACTGCCGATGCTGCAGCTCGCTGGGAAGCTGATGTGGCGCTTCTGCTTCATTTCTGAACTGCTGGCTTTGCGCAGCCTGTCTCAGTTGCGAAACGGCACGTAGCCGGGAAGTTGGCCCAGGAGTTTGCGGGCAGCTTCCTGGCTTCAGATCACTTTGCGGCACTTCTAACTCCTTAAAGAACTTACCAGCTTCGCAAAGGTCCGTTGTCTTTGATGTAAAGCACCCTCGATGTGAGCAGCCGGCCAAGGATGCATGCAGGTGGCTTGCTGGTTTCGGCTCACTTAGGAGCACTTCTGCTTCCTTACTTAACCCACTGGCTTTGCGGAGCTTGTTGTCTCCAGAACAGTTCTCTCCATTGCAAAGCGCATGATGCCAGGCAGCCGGCCGAGGAGTTCCATGGGCAGATTCCTGGGTCCGGTTCGCTTAGCTGCACTTTCGCCTCCTTTCTGAACCCACTGGCTTTGCAGAGCTTGTTGTCTCTGCTGCAAAATGCCACAAAGTTGGGGAAATGGCATAGTCCGTAGCAGCTTCCTGACACTTTGTGCCTCTTCTGCCTCTTTGCTTAACCGTCTGGCTCAGAGCTCCTTTTGTTGGCTGCAAAGCACCCTGAAGCAGGAAAACCAGTCAGGGAGTTCTGCGGGCGGCTGCCTCTGGGCGCTTTGCTGTGCTTTGGCCTGGTGTTTTCATCCAGGTGTGCTCTTAGTTACCATAATTTGGCACAGATTGATTCAAAGTGAATCTGTACTTGTCAGTACCGATGTAATTCAGTCCGTACATGTGGAAGTAGAGTGCGGTACCCAACCCTATAATTCAGCTGTTAAAGGCAAAGAACGCAGGGGAAGAGGATGTGTAGCGTTCCTTTTGTGTGCTGTGCTGTTACACTATGCAAGTTGTGATCCTAATATGTACTGTATCCTGCAAAAAAAAAAAAAAAAAGATGTCAGAGTAAGGCAGAGAGAGAAATGCATCTCCCCCGACATGCTCACACAGACAAGCGTGTCAGTGAACTTCGTACAGACAGTACATGGAAGACAGAAAAAAATGCTGCACTGTAACAGAATCGTCTACTTCTTCCCAACAAAAAGAACTGTGAGAAACGTCTTTGGACCCTGCCTTTCGCTTCTCCTTACCAGGTTTATATTCGGAGCTTCAATCTAAGCCATCTGTAAAATGTTTGATGTGTTGAGTTTCGCTCCTGTCCTCTTGTTCTCAGATAATTGAAGACAGACTCACGTTCACCATATGGTCCCTGATCGTGACATCCAGGTAAAGAAAAGCAAACGAAGTGAATTTTTATTTTTTCAACCTTCCAAGTGTCTTTCTTCCCTCCTCTTTTCCTACGATTGTCACCCTTATGTGTGGAAGAACAGTCTTTGCAGGTTCGCTAGCTGCACAGACGCATACGTAAGAGGTCAATAGATGTTCCAGCTTTACCAAATGATACACCACGGGGCGGTTTCCTGGACACTCAAGTCCAATTTTTTTTTTTGTTTTCTGTACATGGGTAAGGACTTCAAAATGCTCAGGAAACCGATCCTACTGAGATGCATGTGCTTCTGTACAGGCTACAGAGCAGTGGGCCGGACCCAAACTGAGAAAACTAGACCCTGTATACTTTATGGAAGAACTCTCTAGATGATGCTATTTCCCTTTGTACTTTGTTTTCTGTTTCTCACACTGCATTATGCATGAGGTCCTCGAATATCTACTTTTTTTGTTTGTTTGTTTGACCTGATGTTGTTTACTTGAATTTCATGTATAGAAATGACCTTGTTACTTGTGTGAGGTACAACAAAGTCACAATGAAGGTAACAGATACTGATAACTGCTACTACATGTGCAAATGCTTTCCTTGAATAACTACAGAGGTAATATATTTTTGTATTTTTAAATGTACGCAAACTCATATATGTAAACTGCTAACCAAAAAAACAAAACAAAGGAGGAATCATGCATAACGTGCACCATCCTCATACAAAACCCAGTAGACAGCTTCTAGTTGTTGAAATGATATGAATGACAGAGCAGAGGTGGATCGTTTGAATGAAGGACAAGGACTTGATGCTGTTGTCAGAGTACGATCTTTACGTCGAGTGGAGATCTCTTGCCGTATGTGGAAGTCTGTAAGCACAATAAGGAGGAAGAAGCTACCCTGCATGTTTTAAAAACCAGATCCATATGTTAGTTATATATCCATCTGTATATATATATCTCATAAAACCTCTTCAAATACTTGTTTTAGTCATCCTCATTATGACCATGTCTGATAAACTGTATGCATTCATTTATTGTACTGTTGAATAAAAAACATTTCTCCCTATATAAATACATCACCAGGTGGTTTAATTACAGAGCTTGTTTTGCAGTCAATCAAAATATAATTTACAAGGCACTTTGTGTTTTGCTTCATGATAAAGATTAACATTCATGTAGGATAAGGCTAATGTGAACAATCCTTAAAGGAATACTTCACCCACAATATGAGCATTTATATGTAAATCACTCAGCTGATGTCACGTAAAATTATTAAAAGAAAACTCCATAGTGAACAAATTATCCAAAAACTGAGAAATTTCTTGTAGAATTGAAGTCATAGGGGTCTGTGTTAAACAACGGCAAAACTGTATCAAAACATCCGTCTACAAACTCTCACACAACTTGTGCGGTATAATCCATATCTCATTTATCCAGTCATATGCTCAGTACCTCCCATAGACCAGGGGCAACCTTTACTATCCACATACTATCTACATTTTTGGCCACAAAAGAAAAATCTGTCCGGAGCGGCAAAACATATTTGAGCCTCATAATAAAGGTAACACAGTCTTTTAAGTATATTAAAACCACGACAAACAACCAAAGGCCATTGAAAACATGGGTGTTTTAAGATTTGTCTTATAAGTGTCAGTGGAGGGGAAAGATTTAAGAGAGAGCTGAAGGCTATTCCAAAGCTTTGGAACAGCTACTGCAAATGAAAAGGCAGCAGGTCACAGACGTATGACTCACATTTTAGTTGTGAGATTTTAAAACATTTTTTAAAATCACTGTACGAGCTTCACATTTTTAAAGTTGAAGAATGTAAGGATTAGTTTAGGCCCACAACAATAAATGAAAATATAATAATGGTTATTTATTTCCATATAATGTTCTGTCAAAGCCACAGGGAGCCACAGGAGAGGGGCCAAAGAGCCACATGCAGCTCTGGAGCCGCAGGTTGCCGACTCCTACCCTAGACTGAAAAAAAAAAACTGGACGTGGCCTCCATGAATTCATTGTTTTTTGGACTTCAGTTTTGAAGCCTCAAGTTTAGCATTCCAGCCGTCAACATTATGTTTCTGTTGGCACCGGAAGTGACCATATTTGGGCAAGAGGTTGGAGCTGACTGAGAAGCCAAGGACGTTATAGGAAGGTGGCCTGTCACTCAAAGCGGCCTGCCCGTAACTATGCGTAACTTTAAGTCTTAATAAAATGTAAAGGGGTGAGTTCTAAAAAAAAAAATCATGCCCCCGGGGCGACCACTAACTCGTCTGTAGAGTGGGCCCCCATGTACAAAGGCCATGTCCTTGCCACAGTGGCTATGGGTTTGATTTTAAACCCCGGTCCTTTGCTGCATGTCATCCCCCTTCTCCCTTCCCCTTTCACTCCCAAAACTTTCCTTTCAAATAAAGGCAAAAAAACCCAACAAATAAATTCCCCATACAGTTTGCAAATTTGTGAATCCTAGGATGGTGAAGCAATGGCCCATCTTACTCTACCTCTGACTGGCTTACCCTGACATACTTACCCTAACCTTAACTAATCCCACTCCTCTGACTTAAAACTGACCAATCCCACTAATGAAGGCAATGAGTACCAGCCAATCATAGGGCGCGTACACTTTTCATGAAGGGGGAAATTAGCCATAGAGATGAAAACATTTTTGTACCAGGTTGTAAACATGTTTATGTCTGCTGTAAATCTAGGCATTTTAACATGGGGGTCTATGGGGACTGACTTGCTTCTGGAGTCAGCCTCAAGTGGCTATTAGGGGAACTGCATATTTTGGCACTTTTGTGTTGGCTTTATTTGTCGGTCCCCGAGGTTACCGCTTGGTACTTCCCAACGAGACAGCCCTTTCTGATGGGGAACTGAACTAAAAGTGAAACTTAATCCATGCCAGACTCCATCGACAAAAACAGTAATTTTATCTGGCTGAACAAGGAAGCTGCTGGTTCACCGCTGCCTAGATCGGTAGTTTTTAATTACTATTTTTGTCAATAGGGTCTGGTTTTTTAGAGAGCATAGATTAAGTTTCACTTTCGTTAAATGATAAATGAGACTTGGATTAAACTGCAGGAGTTGTGTTAGAGTTTGTAAACGGATGTTTTTTATATAGTTTTGTTGTTTTTAAATGCGATGACTTCAATTCAAAAAGATTTCCTCATAAAGTCAACATAACAGGTGATTAATTAATATAGAAATGGTCATTTGGGGGGTGAAGTATCCCTTTGTGCAAGACAAGAAAATCTTTTTCTCGATCTTCCTATAGAAAACTACAAACAAGACTCTTCACTGGCTGAACTGGACTGGTATGTATAATTTTTAAGAGTGCCTCTAAATGTTGACTTTGGAGTCCATTTTTTTAAAGTAAAAAGTGGGACTAATAAGCTAATATAACATTCAATCAAGTCTAAATGTGACTGTTAAGTACTGACTGCAGTGACTCTTTAGTGTTGTAAACCCAAAAACTCCCTCCATCAAGCACTAAATCAGCCAGAAGCAATTTCATGCACACCTTGTTAAGCGCAGTTAGCCATAGCCATATTTTGATGTTATCTAATATGCAGTTTGAAATGTTCATAAAAATCTTTGTGTAACTTTAATATTTTTACCCCCCAACAGTGATCTCGAAGTGTACCGACATACCGTGAAGTACACTCTGTGTTGCTGCATCAAGGTGGAAAAGTAAACCACTGGAGGTATGCATGCTTTTTAGTTACTCTTCAAAGAAGACAAAGAAGAGCTACATGTAGTAAAAACCCATCAGGGGAAGCCCTTTAAAATTTGTATGTTAATTATGTACATGACACTTTAAAAAAACAACTACTCACTACTTCGGTCCAACCCAGTTGCCAGAATAAATGTTGGCATTGTTACATTCATTCAAACCATGTATTTTTCATTCTTACATTTCATATGTACTCCAATTTGTTGAAACTTCTTTACATTTGATTTCATGCTGTGACAGCACTGTGGTTAAAGGATAACATCAGCATTTTTTATTTCCCCGTGTAAGTTGATCAAAGAGACTGACGTGAACAACAATTTTTGAAATTGTTAGAGTATTGACGGAGCCAGCAGCAGCCAGCAGCTATGGAATGAGCTGCAATGGAGGCAATTAGATGTTGTCACTATATGTCCATTAAAAGTGCTTGGAAAACAGCATGTTCGGTCTTGAAATATCTGGCATGGTCACTACAAATATAGCTGGAAATGTTTCAAAATCTCTTGAAAAAATACCTGCTTTTATTGCTAATAACCCGGCTGAAAATGTCCATAACCGCTTATTAAAAATACCCACTTTTGTCACTATAAATGAAGCTGGAAATGTCCTGACCTCTTGTCAAAAATACCCACTTTTGTTGCTAAAAACATGGCTGGAAATGTCCTGACCTCTTGTCAAAAAATATCCACTTTTGTTGCTAAAAACATGGCTGGAAATGTCCTGACCTCTTGACAAAAAATACCCATTTTTGTTGCTATAAATAAAGCTGGAAAATGTCCTGACCTCTTGTCAAAAAATACCCATTTTTGTTGCTATCAATAAAGCTGGAAACGTCCTGACCTCTTGTCAAAAAATATCCACTTTTGTTGCTATAAATAAAGTTATAAATGTCCTGACCTCTTGTCAAAAAATACCCATTTTTGTTGCTATAAATAAAGCTGTAAATGTCCTGACTTCTT